ACTGTGGCGCTATCTAGTGTTATGTTCAAGCCACCGCCAGAAGTCTACCATCTTCTATTGAACAAAACTATAAACGTCACCTTAGTCGCCTTCTAACCTTCTTTACGCTTTATCAAAACGCCACCGCTTCATCTATGCACACAGATACACCGCTGGGCGGCTGCGCAGCTAACAGCTTCATCTGCGTCGACGGCTTTTGTGTTGATGCTTCCTATCGCTGCGACGGTGTACCCGACTGCAGGGATCATTCGGACGAGCAGGGTTGCGATATGATTGGTATCGGTGGGTATCATTCAGAAATTCATTAGTAAAGATGTTAGAGACGTCAGATGCGCACAAATGATACTCACTGCGCATTAACGTCAATAGCATCTTAACTAGCCTAAACCACTTTTATGTAAAAATAAATGCTACTCATATAGACTAAGTGTGAATAATAAACTAACAAACAAATAATGGTTACTTGAAGAATTATCGACTATCTATTAAAAGCCTCTCCACAGTTTTGCGCATGTCAAGCAATTGACTTTGGAAAAAAATAATCAAAACTTAAATTTTGTCATCAAATAGTTGTACCGCAACCACCACAAGAGTGCGCCCCGCACGAATTCACCTGTGCAAGCGGATCTTGTATCGATGCATTGTACCGCTGCGACACCGTGTTTGACTGCAGCGATCGATCAGATGAATTTGGTTGTGGTAGCGGTGGGTATTTTTATGTGATTTGGACGATTTGAGTGGCGATTGCTGGTCGGTTAATCGGTGGTCTATCGATTGACCCTACAGATCGGCCTAGAAAATTCAAACCGGATAATTGTTTCATGTTTCGTCTTTTGGTGTTGCGGTGTCTAGAATATATTTTTAAGCAAAATAATATGTAGATATTATAAAACTTTGATCGTATATAAGAAAAATGTCATGGCAAAAGGTAGCAATATGGATAATATCCTCTCTAACCTCTTTTAATCATTATTATTATTACAGCATCCTGCAACTACTAGTATAGACAGTTTTCTAAGCAGATAATATATTTTTTGTGCGCTTGTACCAGCGTATAGCAGTCGTGGATAAAATTATTAAGTCATCAAGGTATCCTAACATCTGGATATGCGGCAAACCTGAACAAAAACGGTTTATAAGCTTTTGAAACGTTGCTGGAGCTGAGGATAGACCAAAAGGCATCGTCTTATATCGATAAAATCCAAATGGCGTGACAAAGGCGGTTTTATCACGATCTTCTTCTCTGACAGGTACTTGATGTTAACCACTCTTCAGTTCTAAGGTGGCTATGTAGTTAGCTTTTCCAGTTGAATGGATAAGGTCATCTATACGAGGCAACGGGTAAAGAACATTCTTGGTGACAGCATTCAGTCGGCGATAATCAACACAAAGACGTGAAGTTCCGTCTTTCTTCGGTACAAGGACGACTGGAAATGCGTACGGCGATTCGCTTTCTTCAATGATATCGCTGGCAAGAAGTTTGTCAAGCTCCTGACGCAAAACTTCTTTCTTCGCAGGAGATAAGCGATATGGTGGTGCAGCTATGGGAATATCATCAGTGAGGATGATGGTATGCTCAGCATGAAATAGTATATCTTCTTAGGTATATTGAGCACTATATTGAATTGTGATATGAAATCAACACCAAATAAAGTCTTGCTCCGGAATCCACAAAAGCAAAACCTGATTTACTTTGAATGATGACAGGTATCATGGGTCTTAAAGGCGGACCATCAAACGTTGATAACAAACTGGAAGGTTTATCGAGATCAGCGGCGAGCATTTCGACAGAGAAAATGGTTGTTGGTGCAGGTTTACATTGAGGACAATTGGAACGAATATATCCTGGATTACCGCAATCGTAACATGTTACATTTGTGGAGGACGGGTTACTCGATCGGACTGTTAGGGCAGAAGTAGTGGACGAGGCTTTTTCAGCAGACTCGGCTTTACATTTTTTGCAAAAAACTTGAACATGTCCATATGCTTTGCAAAATGCACACCGGTCTTTGGGCTTTTCTGCAACGGACGTGGAAGTCACTTTTACGTTGGATTCAGCAAGGCTGGATTCGATTGCTCTGCATTTGTCGATCATCTCCGTAAAGTTCTGGAAACTATGTCAAGTAAGTTTTTCCCTGATTCTATGGTGAAGGAGTCCATAGACCATTTCTAACTTATGCTCCTGTAGCAAAGGCGTGATTATTGTCAACTTTGAAAGCAGTACACACTGCACGGGCTTGATTCACGAAAAGATCCGTTGGTTCCTTATTGAAAACAGTTCTCTATGAATCTGATGTGCTGGTTTGTTAAAGCCAAAGGCATGACGTAGCGCATCTAAAACTTCAGTCCATAAGATGTTTGGCTTTTTGGTGACTTGCCACCATACTGCGGCAGCGCCATCCAGAAGCATGGTTGAACCTTTTACAGCGTTATCGTCACTGATGTTCAGACAGTCTTTGTAAATAGTGATGGCATCAATAATAGCTTCAGTATCGTCTGGCTTTCCAGAAAATCTTGAGCCGCATTTATAAAAATTGTCAGCTGTACAGGGTGATCTATTATAAATGTCACCCCCTGCTAACTTTCTCATTTGACGTTTTGGACAGAAGTGTCAAATACAAAAGTTTTAAGAAATGGTCAAAAGTTTTCAACTAAGTCAGTTTCAGGCATACAGGGTGCGTCAAAAAAGTGCAGCAGTGTAAAGTTACATTTTTTTAAATGGAACACCCTGTATATTGTGCGCTTATTTGTTAGTTACTTTTAACCTGATTTCAACGATATACGGTTTGATATGTTTATCTCTCGGTTTATCTTCAATAGTTATAGGGAAAAACGCGAAAATCCCTTTTTAGGTCTCTCATGTTATTTTTAAAAAAATTATAATGTTAACTTTAGATATCTGGATTTATCATGATATTTCAACTTGTATATTATTGAATAAAATTTGAACAATAAACTGTTCATAAAAGAAATTCTCTAAAGCTTATAATTTTTCTTTTTTCATATGAAATCTTGAAAGGGGTTTTCATGTTTTTCCCTATAACTATTGAAGATAGACATATCAAACCGTATATCGTTGAAATCAGGTTAAAAGGGAGTAACAAATAGGCGCACAATAAACAGGGTGTTCCATTCAAAAAAAAATATAACGTCACGCTGCTGCACTTTTTTGACACACCCTGTATGCCTGAAATTGACTTAGTTAAAAACTTTCGACAATTTCTTGAAACTTTTGTATTTGACACTTCTGTCAAAAATGTCAAATGAAAAAGTTAGAAGGGGGTGACATTTATAATAGATCACCCTGTACTTTGGTTCGAAGTAGATTGTGGCGTATTCTGAAACATATCTCTCATATCAGCGAGTGATGTTTGTAATTGTTCATTCATCAGAACAACATGTCTATCCTGACAAACAGGCAACTGTAATGTAGGAACCCTTTGAACAAACTTGGACGGACACACAGGAAACTGTAATGTCAGCACAAAAATGGAGGACAAACTTGAGCACACAGGAAACTGTAATGTCGGTTTGTGTGGAATATTCCAGAAATTGTGGGTACCATAGTCGATTGTGGCAAAACTTACATAATTCAGTCAATTAATGCACATTCACACTGATGTCTCGCGTTCTATAGTTCATTGATCTACAGTCACAAAATTAGTCCAGACAGTCATTGGGGTGGCGGTTCACTACAAAACCCCAGGCCCCACGTTGGGCGCCAAATATGTAGGGGGTATCGAAGGAAACTCCAACACTATGCACTACATATGTTTTTTTTTTTAACAATTGAATTGAAAAAAAATACAGAGTCGGCAAAATAATAGCAATAATTACTGATAATTTATAATGAACTTGATAACTTGATCGGGGAAACCACAGAACATGGGGAAACTGACTGACTGATTGACTGATTGATGACAATTGTCAGATCTGGTAGTTGTGGCTATGGCTTAACACGATTTTTAGACAAAGTTTCTCATCAGAACCAGTAAGATTCTCATTAGAAAAAATCTTATATTTGTATTGACATTATAAAACCCTAACTTCGAGCATGATTTGGGAAGTGCTGATACCTCTGCAATATTTTTTGACTAGGATAGCATTTAAATCTATTTTTTCTCTATTATTTGCAATTATTCCAAAGTTTAGCCCCCAGGCTAATCGCACCTTGTTTCTTATAATGGAAGAATGTCAGGAATGCAACTTGTGATACCAGATCACTTTTGTAGCTCTTCTCTTGAATTATGATAGTTGCCAATACAGTTTATTTTTCATGCAATACGGAGCTTTTTCAGATTTGGATAGATCAGTGTCTTGGATCCAGAAATTACTTCGAAAGCAACGCAAATCCAAATGTTTGAGATTTGTTGCTGTACTCATCACACTTACCAATATAAACTTTTGCCATGATTTTTGTTAAAATTACTGTCAAAGTGACTATAGCCTATTAATTTGCTTAAAAACACTGTACTCTTTATCAATGTTTAAATGTATTTGCGAAATTACTTTTAGGACGTTTTCCCAACTTTATTATTCGTTTGCAAACCTTAGTGTATAAATTAGTTATCCTGTTTTGCTGATTACATACCTATTGATTATAGGAAATAAAATTAAAACAACCTGTATTGTTTTCACACTAACCTCATAAGGTACCTAGTCCTTAACCATTTTCGTTACTTAACTATGTAATTAGTGCCTACCGAAGTAACACACCAATAAATAGTAAATACCTTAAAACAATAAACATTTTTAAGTAAATGAGTATAGAATATACGAGGTTACCAGGTGAATTTCTATTACTAAAGGTTGAATGGAAAATCTAAAATAATTATGTGTTTGGATATTTTTTCTTCTCGTCAATAGTTTCATTTGGTTCAGGCTCAGGTTGTTGCATGCCCTCCACTTTCTTCTAGTGATATTATGATCTTCAATATAACAAAAAACTTCCACTCAATCTAACTCACACTCAAAAAATCAACTCAAAATCCTTTTCTCAGACTCTCAAATACCAACGACAACTGAACACCCCATCTATCAGGAATGTCTAGCCAATCAAATACGTTGTCGCGATCAATCGTGCGTCTACGGTAGTCGTTGCGATCGCAGACGCGATTGTCCGGATAGTTCCGATGAAGAAGGCTGTCAGACTTGTCAGCCTGATCAGTTGCAATGCCGTAACGGCGGCTGCGTCGACTCGAGACTTTGGTGCGACGGACTCGCAGATTGTTCCGATGGAACTGATGAGGAAAACTGCGGTATGTTGGATCACGATAACTTTCTTCTTCTAATGCTCGCAGTTTGAATTAACTTTGAAGACGGTGGATGGTTTATGATCTTCTGCTAAAACAAGTGGACTAATAATTTCCTCTCTTACAAGTTTAATCAAGGATTTGAGATTTTTCTAATTTGAGACTACTAGTAGTAATAGATGGTTGGTTCGGCATCTTTTGTCCTGGGAATAGGCGGCCAGAGACAGCTCATTAGCCTCTTACTGATTTTTGAAAATAGACCTGTCTGAATTTCGACCTGTCTTGAAGCTGCATATCTGCATACCTTCTGAGTACTGTAGACGACATTCTCAATGACCATCTACCACTACTGGAAGAAACTAGTTTTGCAAGTGATTCTAATTTGCCAAATTATGGTGGTTTGTGATCTTCCGCTAATATGAATTGCCCAGATTTATTCCTAACAAAAAATCTAATTAGAGATTCAGTTTCTTATAACGTCCTATTTGTGATTTTGATTTGTCTATGCTTCTCTAACGTTGTACTGCTTTATAATTTTCAAAATGAAATGTATTTCTTTCTATGCCTTTGGAGAAACTGCTCCCTTCTATCGCTTCCTCTATCAATGCCAACTATATTTGAATGAAAACGTAAAACATAGGTTGCCGAGACGACGAATTAGATTGCGGCGATAGAGTTTGCGTAGAAATCAATAGGAGATGCGACGGGCAACAAGACTGTCCGAATGGTAGAGATGAAGAGGCATGCCCTGACGATGCAGGTTCCCATAACAGAAGTAGGATTTTTTTTTTGAAACTTACTGCTTAAAGTTTTGCAAATAATATAACGTGCTTAAATTTAGAAGCTATATAATTGATTTTGAAAATCAATTATTGGTGAAGAGTGACTTACTTCATTAGGGTCCGCTTTTAGAATCAAATTACAGATTTCATTGCAAACAAATTTGGCTTGTGGTAACCGGATAATATTTTTGTTTATAACTTATGGTGACTGGATTTTTTTGTTGGTATAACTTGAACATCAATATTTTTTCCTGAAGCAACAAATAAAAAGCTATATTATACACGTGGCTGAAGTTAGCTTTATATTCATATTCAGATTCGTGTATATTACAGTCGACCAGATAAAAAATTGAAAAACCGCGAAATTCAATCAAAGACAATTATTATATTATGTAGGGGATTCGGAAAAGGTAGAAATAACCCTTAGGCATATTTTCTTTAGTTAAGTTAGGTCTGGGAGAGTCACAACGAAGAAAAAACGATAATTTGTTTGACTATTTCACTAGAGTGGATTACACCGGTTATACAATTCACTGTACATTATTCCCATATGACACGAGAGGCTTAAAAAGTGATAAGCCTTTTGGGATTATCGCGCTTGGTGGCATTTATAGCAAATTCTATTATAGAAATTTTCTTAAATTTTAAAGTATTAAAGTTTAGTTCGTTATATAACCTTTTGAATACCACTCGATGTTTCAGGATTACCTAATACTTTTACCCTTAGAACAGGTAAAGGTAAAGAGGAGTAGTAACCTGGATTTGGAAAATGAAGCCGTTTTTTTCCAGGTATTTTGGCAACAAGAAAATGGCGCTTATGGCAATTCAATGCTTTACCTGTATCTTGGTTTTGTATCTTGGTGCCAAACACCTGCCAAAAACTTGGCTTCACTTTATTTTCATAAGCAGAATGGCGCGTTCCTACTCCTTATGTCCGTAGGACAGCGCTTTCCTGCTCTAAGCTTTTACCTGACACTCAACGCCTGACGGCTCGTGATTTTGTCAAAAATTTCGCGAAATTGCCAAACAACAAACTTTCATACCTTTCGAAAATTTTGCCGACAAATTTTTTTCTCTTATGATATTATATATGAAAATTCGTAGAAAATTAATGATTGATTGATTCGTAGAAAAATTGATGATGATGGGATTTTTTAAAGGTTGAAGATGATAGAGTTAACCCTTAAGCACAGTCCAGAAGAGCTTTTGCAGTCAAGTTAGGTCTAGGAGAGTCATTACGAGGGAAAGTCGATAATTGGTTGAAAAAATCGTGAAAAATGAATGATACTTTATAGGGATTTTCTGAAGTTTGAGGATGATAGAGTTGACCTATTCTGGACTGTGCTCAAGGGTCAACTCTATCATTTTCAAGTTTCAAAAAATCTCTTTAAAGCATTTTCCACGAATTTTCCAACAAATTATCGACTTCTCCTTGTAATGACTTTCCCAGACCTAACTTGACTGCAAAAACTCTTCTGGACTGTGCTTATTAAGGGTCAACTCTATCATCCTCGAATTTGAAAAAATCCCCACAAAGCATTATTAATTTTCCACGAATTTCCCAACAAATTATCGTTTTTCCCTCGTAGTGACTCTCCCAGACCTAACTTAACTAGAGAAAACATTCTCAAATGTGCCTAAGGGTTATTTCTACCTTTTCGGAATCCCAGATATCCTCTACATAACATAATAATAATATTTGATTGAATTTTACGGTTTTTTAATTTTTCTTTTCAAATATTATCTGGTTAACTGTAATATCTACGAATCTGAATATGAATATGATGCTAACTTCAGCCACGTATATTATACATAAACTTAACAAGCATTATCTTTCTTATAACATTGTGGGTGAGCTGTCTGTTTTTTTCTTGTGGATTTGAACCAGATCTGTTTCGTTTTTTACATGTCTTCGAATAGAACTAATACTCCAAATTATTTATTGAAAATTATATATTTTTAAACAGCACAACCATGTTCGGTGGATCAATTTGACTGTGGTAATGGACAATGTATTGAATTACAATTTAGATGCGATCGATACTCTGACTGTCACAATAACGCTGACGAAAACAATTGCGGTAAGTATCTAGATATCTGTAGAATGCCATAGATGAGTACCTACTACTGAGTTTCAATATCTAGAATAGATTATATTAGTAATAGTGTTGCTTTCCTTATTGCTATAAATGCTTTCACTGTAGTCACATAGTCTGTGTCATTTAGTATTAAGTACGCATTATTTACAGATAGTTTTGTAGTTTTAATTAATGTTAATAAATATGTTTCCTCTGTAGCCTGTGCTCAATACGAACATCATTGCACAGACGGCACTTGTATTCCACAATCTGCGCTCTGCAATTCGGTGCACGATTGCATAGACGGTTCAGACGAGCTAAACTGCACCACGCCCACCTGTCTTGGCAACGAGTTCAGGTGCGAAAGGGACAGCAAATGTATCCCGATTCAGCAGAGATGCGATAGATACCCTCAGTGTTCGGATGGGGCCGACGAACAAGGATGTCGTAAGTGAACTTTGAGTTTTTTTCAGTTTAAGTGTAACAACAAGAGCGCATAGTTTGACTATTAGATTATTTCTTTTTGGCTAACAACACGATAATATGCACATATTATAAAGTAGAAGTATATTGCTAGAAATTATATGTCGGCTCCAAGAATGTGAGTAATTCAACTTTCATCACTTACTGTGAGAAGACAAATAGTAAATTATCTATTGAAAATTATCTTTTATTAATTGTCAAGTTCTGATATCTTGCTCTTGTTACCTTCCCAATCCATAATATTTACTTCTTCCCTTTCTTCACAAACAAAAACTTAACTAAGTAACACAGAAGAATACAATATACTATACAGGGTGTCAGAATTTAAATTTAGGAAAATGTTAACAACGTGACAATATTGTACAGGTATTATCTCTGCCCAGGATATAAATGTAAATAAAACTGGTAAATTTAAAAAGTTTTTTTTTTTGCACGGAATTTATTATTTCCATCTGTTTACGTTTTGGTTTGTTATTGGCTTTCAAATAATGTAAATAATAACTTGCATTTTTATCACTTTTCTAGTAAAAATAAAAAATGTGCCGTTTTATTAAGTTGTAGCATTCAATGACATTTTTGCACTAAACATTCAAGAGAAAAATCAAATAATACTTACTCAGCGACTTGCCAAATCCTTATTATGAAAATATTAATTTTTGTTAAAAGGTTCTCAAAACACTAAAATCATCACACAAATTTTGGACACTCACACATCCTGTATCACGCAATATTTGTAAAACGGTCGAAATGTTCTTTCATCAGGTGGGTGCTTTTCTTTTGGAAAATCTTTGCCTAGTTTCCCTGAGCATTTTGCAACGATTCTGTCTAAACAAGTATCTGCATATTCGACGATTGTAAACATTTTATTTTCAAAAAAGAATGAATTTGAATTACGCGCGTTTCCCAACTAGACAAGACAAATCAAGAATCAATTTATTCAGTTCAACCAAGGTTCAACGTTCAACCACCTATTCTTTATTGTGCTATGTTGCCAGATGTTTAGACCCCGATTTACAGGTGAAATTTTTATTTTGTTTTTTCAATTTTTCGTTATTGTTGTTGATTAAAAATGCATAATTTCCTAATAATTGAATAAACTAATTTTTGAGGGCCTCGAGAAGTAGGTATTTGTCATTCCTGAGTATGTGTCCAAAGTACTCTTACTTTCGCTTTTTAAGCGTAAACGTAACTTCAAGATTTTTTGACATTCTCGTTAGCACATCTTCATTGCGCACTCTGTCCGTCAAAGATGTTTTTAACATCCGTTCCGTCTATACGTCCACATTTCAAAAGCCTCTAGCTTTTTACACATTGGGATAAAAGATTTCACAGTTCTATGTATTTCCATGTTTACTATGTAGGCCATGCTGTTGTATTGATTTTGGTGAATAGGATAATGATCATCGATGTGGCACCCACCTGATCCCTCAGATGTCGATATGCATTCCCTCCATTTTTTTGATGACATTGTGAATTTTTGCTTTCTTGGAACTTTGTATGTTCCAGGTCACAATCTTCTTCATGACTGCCCGGCGATTCTTAGCACCCTCTGGTCATTTTAGATCTGCCAGATACTGAGGGCCTGGGCTTTAGGTTTCCCAGTAATTTCAGTGGCGGATCCATGGGGGGGGGGGGTAAAGGCGGTAATTACCCCCTCCCCAGACAGCCCTAAAAAAAAATTAATTATTGAAAAAACACACAAATTATTTTTTGGAGGCTTAAAATACGTTTTGGGCGTGGCACACGAAAAAATTTTCGGCACCTACGATAATTACCAACAAAAATACGAGAATTACAAAAAAATCGAAAAATATAAAAGAATCGTAAAAAACTTGAAAAATACAAAAATTTACGAAAGTTACAAAAAATACGATGATTACAAGAGAATACGAATAAATCGTGAAAAAACACGATAAATAAAAAAAATTACGATACAAACAAAAATCCGAGAATTAGAAAAAAATCGTGAAATACTCGAAAAATATAAAAAAATCGTAAAAAATTGGAGAAATACAAAAATTGTCAAAAATTTACAAAAATCAAAAAAAAATACGATGAGTAAAAAAAAAAATTACAAAAAATACGAACAAAAAAAATCTTGAAAAACACGAAAAATACAAAAAATCGAAAAAAATACGAAAAATACAAAAATTTACAAAAAATACAATAATCACAAGCACAAGAAAAATCGATAAAAAAAATGAAAAAAAAAAATAAATAAAATAAAATAAAAAATAACTGAAAATTAAATTTTGAAAGTTACGGCAATGTTGTATACCTCTAGGGAAGCCTGCAGTGCTCGACACAATGCGACAACCGCGGACGCGCAGGACGCATATTTTACTTTTTTGATCTTTTTTTATGTGCAGATTACTACTATGTTGTATTTATTTTCGTTTGGGATAGAAAGTTCAACCTGTTCTCATATTCAGTCGTATGAATACAGTGAAGCAAAGGCTTTTACTCCATCTCCATCTCTTTTTGCTGCATTAAAGCTGAATATGTTTATCTCAAAAAACTTAAGCAAAAGCATAGCATTTGCTTCTGTTTCATGACATAGCTACTAGCTGATGTCACATGAACAAAGCGTTCAAGGAGTATTTACACATATCGATTAGGCGATAGCTATTACGTCACAAATCACATAACGTCACGATAGGGGGACACATATGTCATTGAGGGACGTTTCCACCAACTACACAGGTGCAAAAAAAATGGGCCACCTATTATTGTTTAAAAGTTTGCTATATTTTTTTGAAATCATTGGTTGGGTATTTGCATCTGCGAGCAAAAAGAGCAAATTATGGCGGACGCCACGTGATCACTTATCTTTTCTCGCATGTCAAATCACCTGTCAAACTTTGCTTATTTTGCAGTTAACGAACCCAGCCATTTTTGATTTTTTATTTACACTTTTAATCATATTGTTTTTTGTTTACAAGGGAGCCCTTGTCAATAAAAAATCAAAAGTGATCCGTAAGTCAGAATAGTAAACAAACATAGCCAACTTTCAAACAATAATAGTTGACGCACTTTTTTTGCACCTGAGTGTATTTTAGGGAACCTTGATGATGACAATTATTCCTTAAAATAACAGTTTTCGATGAAGAAATGTTAGTTTGAGGAATATTTATCGTTGAGGCGTCCTTAAAATAGTTGATGGTAACGGCCATGAGACAAACAAACGCTTTGTTTGTCCCCCGTCGAGAGTGAGGTGTACGTGACAGTGTGACGTCAGCTAATGCCTCCAACACCACAAGAAAAATACCTAAAAAAACCATGACAGAACCCCAAAAATTGTTATACCACTGGATAAAACCATTATTAGGTAAAAAACTATACAGAGGGAGCGAGTTGAAATCGATTTTTGTCTATTCCCGGCTCTTGAATTCAACTCAGTCATAAACAAATTGATTGACAAACGACGTTCAATTCAATGTTTATCTGTCAACTCCTGTTATAGAGAAATAAATGTCAAGTGTGAGAGAGATAGAACCATTACCAGGCAAAAAAATATACAGAGTGAGATAGTTGAAATAGATTTTTGTCTATTCCCGGCTCTTGAATTCAACTCACTCATGAACAAATTGATTGACAAACGACGTTTTCAATGTTTATTTGTCCACTCCTGTTACAGAGAAATTAGTGTTAAGTGTGAGAGAGATAGAACCATTACAAGGGGAGTGAAATGAAATCGATTTTTGTCTATTCCTGGCTCTTGAATTCAACTCAGTCATAAACAAATTGATTGAAAAATGACGGAAATTCAATGTTTATTTGTCAACTAAAGTTACAGAGAAATTATTGTCAAGTGTGAGAGAGATAGAACCATTACCGTAAAAAACTATACAGAGGGAGAAAGATGAAATCGATTTTTGTCCATTTTAGGCTCTTGAATTCTTTTAATTTAAAGAAATTTAAGAGCGGGGAACAGACAAAAATTGAAAAGAAATAGTTAAGCGAGAAAATTAATGAGAATTGAAAATTGAGAAAAATTTGAGAAGAAATTGGTTGATAAGCAGAAATACAAGGATTGTTTCTATTCCAGGCTCTTGAATTCTCTCAATTTAAGGAAATTTGAAGAAATTTAAGAGCCGGGAAAAGACAAAAATTGAAAAGGAATATCTAAATGAGCGTGAAAATCATTGAGAATTGAAAATTGAGGAAAATTTGAGGAGAAATTATGGTTGATAAGCAGCAATACAAGAATCTACTTTATTCCAGTATAACTGTAAGTCGCTCTATTTAGAGAGATTTGAAGAAATTTAAGAGCAGAGAATAGACAAAAATAAAGGAAGAATAAATGAGCGAGAAAATTTATGAGAATTGGAAATTGAGAAAAATTTGAGAAGAAACTGGTTGATAAGCAGAAATACAAGGATTGTCTCTATTCCAAGCTCTCGAATTCTCTCCAAATGATGTCATTTTAGAGTCAATTTCGGTTCGTGATGTAATCTTACCAACATATAACGTGATTTATGACCTTACTGTCACATGCATAAATGTCATGTCATGATCAAACTGACATATTTATGAGGACGTCAATTGAAATTTTGTTTCGACGCCATATTGCGGTGCGCGAACATAGTTGTCAAAACAAGAAAACCAAAAACTACTAGCGGGCTGTCAACTAGATATTTTATTATTTCTATTCTGCCCAAAACAAGCTAAAATTGATGGCTTTTCTTTCCAAAAACATTCGTAATAGGCGGCAAATTTAAATTTTAAATGTAATTTATTCACTAACTTTGGATTTTCAAGTTGACAGAACGCTAGTAACTTTTTTTTCTACTGTTGGCAGCTATGTTCGCGCACCGCAATATGGCGTCCAAACAAAAGGTCAATTGTACCACATTTCAAATACGACATGGCTGACGTATTTATGACGTATTTATGACATTCTCGTACGCCATTTTTATTTTTGTAAACTACGTCTTTTCCCAGTGGCGGATGCACGGGAAGTGGAGGGGGTGGGGTGAAGGGGGTTATTATCCTCCCCCCTAGAGAGGCCTAAGAAAATTTCGATTATCAAAAAAACACACAAATTATTATTTTTTGGAGGCTTAAAATGCGTTTTGGGCGTGGCACCCGAAAAAAGTTTCTGCCCTTCAAGTATAGACCACGTGCAGTTACTGGTCGAGATGCTCTACCCCCCCTAGAATGGTGCTATAGATCCACCACTGGATGATTTTTCTTGGGCAAAATAATGTGGTGGTTTCCGGTTGCCTTCCTCAAGGTAGACTGGGAATTTCAAAATTTAAAATCGGTTAGTTCAGTGACAAGAGGTTTATCTTTTTAAACATTATACCTATTCTGACAATTTTCAATAAGACCTTCGACCTTCAATTTGTTGATAAGTTGTTTCTGGCCACCAAATCATTTTTTCAAACTCAAATTGACTATTTATGTATATTGAGAGGCGCCGATAGATTTTTACCATCGAATGCAATTTATCTGTCAATACATGAACCATGCGCTCTGGTTGAAACACAAATATGTAATATAATTACCAATTTATACTAGTTTATTTTCATATAAAATTCAGGTAAAATATACGCATAACTGAAACAAATTTATTTATTACTTATATCTATTTAACTGATATTTTCTGGCCACCCCGGCCAGAGAAGTGTCTTGAGCCGGTGTGGTTCGAATGTGACGATGGTTCCGGTTGCATCGAGTCGACTCTCAAGTGCGACAACGTCTACGACTGCAAAGATTTTTCTGACGAACAGAACTGCTTCGGTTAGAGTCAAAATTTTCTTCATTTATGTTTCTATTATTGTCTCCAAATATCGGTTGTGTCCTCGTAGATTTTGTTAGATTTTTCTCGAAATAATTAAATTAAAATTATGACATGAAAGACTTTTAAGAGAAAAATTTAATAATTATTTAGCTTTAGTAACTTTTTTGTAGGTAGACGAGTTTTTTGGTAAATAAACGTACTGCTCATATTATAATAGTTAGAGCTAGAAGAGACTTTTTTCAGTAATATAGCGATGATAGATTTTATTTAGAAATGTGTGTGAAATTAAATTAAATTTATATGTAAATGGATTCTCTATATTTCATACGTATGTATAATTGCGTATTTGTATCCCCGTTCATATTTTAAAATAGATAGATATTTTCTTCTCTAAATGGAATTTTTGTTAGTTAGTTTTACGTATGACGCACGTTTTACATTTCATTATGTTTTTTTTTTTTAATTAATTTGTTTTTGGCTTTTATATTTTAAATTGTTTTTATTTCTGTTTTAGCGCAGAAAAATTAGCTCAATATAATCGGATGTAAAATGTGATATTGTTGGACTGAGCCATTGAAAAGGGAATGAGAATTGTTTTGCGTTTCATTCCTTTTAATATTTATTTTCAAAATAATTTCATCCTGCTGCAGGATCTCTATATGAGGAATCACAAACGCAATTATTGATAACGTGTTTTCATTTGGGCTTAAGGGCCGTCGTGAGTTGGAATTTCGCTAGTACGCGTGGCTAGCATCTTCAGAGGTGTCTTTATGTCTGATTCTGGTAGCAGACTGACACGTTACCGACTGCAAGTTGTATTTATGAATGAGTGGCTGTGGTGAGGGAGGAGTGAGGCTTCGCAGCACGTGGCTAATCTGACTTTGTACTCAATTGGATCTTTCTTGCGTTTTTGAGGATCGAATTCCAGGTTAAGTTTTAGTGTTTCTTCTTTCCTGGTGAAGATCTCCGTATGTTTATGGATTTCTATAGCTTCACGTACAAGACGATTGTGGTATCCGGAAGTTGATGCAAGAAGCTTGACCTCACCAAAGAGTATTTCGTGATTCCCTTCACTAAGCGCATATTCCGCAACTGTCGATTTTTCCGTTTGCCCTAATCTACAGTTCTTCATGTGCTCGTTCATCCTGGTTCCCATGGATCTTTTTGTCGTTCCTATGTATATCTTACCACATGTGCATGGTATACGATAGACTCCAGCGCTTGACAGTGGGTTCCCTTTATCCTTACCAGTTGCGGAACATGCGCTTAGTGAAGGGAATCATGAAATACTCTTTGGGGAGGTCAAGCTTCTTGCACCGACTTCCGGATACCACACTTCAACAGGAAAAAAGAAACACTAAAACTTAACCAAACCTAGAACCCGATCCTCAAAAACGCAAGAAAGATCCCATTGAGTACAGAGAAAGTTCAGACTAGCCACGTGCTGCAAAGCCCCGCCCCTCCCTCACCACAGCCACTCGCACATAAATACAACTTACGGTCGGAAAACGCGTCAGTCTACTACCAGAATCGGACATAGAAGCACCTCTGAAGATGCTAGCCACGCGTGCTAGCGAAACGTCAGGAAGAAATTTCAACTTACGACGGCCAATAAGCCCGAATGAAAACACTTTATCAATAAACCTGGGCTACGAAAGCCTCACAAACTCCATCAAACGCAATTATTTTTTTATTATTAAGCATGATAGCACCCAATTTGTTATAATTTCTTTATTTATTTTGTTTTACGTATATTTTTTTTGCACTTTTTATTTATTTTCGTTTTTGTTCTTTTTCCGTTATCGTAGCTTGTAACGACTATGAATTCCGTTGTTCGAACGGACAATGTGTAGACGATCGTGTGCGTTGCAATGGACGACCCGATTGTAGTGATTACTCAGACGAACAAAATTGTCCGACCACCACTCAAGCACCAATTACTTTGCCCCCAGTTACAGTGTCGCCGAAATCGTGTCCTTTCCCCTACGTGTCCTGTTTCACCGATGACCAATGCATATTGAGATCTCAGCTGTGTGACGGACGAGTCGACTGTCGCGATATGTCCGACGAGTCCAGTTGCGGTAAGTGGAACTTATTAATTTTTGTAAGGTATATGAAATCAGGAGTGTAACATAAACACAAATGAACCATTCAGGGTTGTTGCGACGATGTAACAGAAATGAATTTAGATGCGAAAACGGACCCTGCATTAACCAAGAGCTTAGGTGTGATGGCAAGGTGGATTGTCCTTTCGATAGCAGCGATGAACTTGACTGTTTATACGATTCTTGTAGGTTTTTTGGCAAATGAAAGTAAAATATCAAAATTAAAAAAACTTGGTTTTTATAATAATTAATCCGAGGAATGAAATTTAATCTTTTTTGAATGCAGTTGATAAGTAGATACAATCCAACTAAAATAGGATAATATGGAAATAATAAGCAAATTGTGATGATTTATTTAACTATGTTTTTGTTTATATTCAATTGGTTTGATTCCGAATTTTAATTAAATTGGGATGTGGCGTTAAATATAATAATTGGGATATGGAATATATCACAAAATGTGGAGGTTAAAGTTTCAATTTTGTACACAAAGTACAAAAAGTCTAATCAAATTGTGTGCTATTAATCTATGGGGTTTGCATTTTGCTTCAATTATCAGTAACAAATTGCGTGTTCTAACCAAAATTAGTATTTATAAAAAGGGTTTTCAACAAATCGACTATTACCAAGAAATCAATTGCTAATTACTACTTTTTTATAATACCTACTAAAGTAATTGTGTTGAACGTTTTCAAAATATTCATTCCAGGTCCCCAATTCTTGAATTATTTCGCAGACGCAAATTGATATGATTTCGAATGTTTTCTATTCAATTCACGCGTGGCTGTCATTCAAATTAGAATCAACTTACGTATGCAAGAATATTCAAGAATTAACCCCCAGTTATTATGGTTCTTCAGCTGCACTCTGCAGGTCATTTTACCAGTCTTTTCTTTTTGAGAATATTTTATGTTCAGTTTTGGCTGAATTTTTAGAAACCATGGTCAGAAACAAAATTTGAATGTTTGAAATGCCCCGATTCCAAAAATATATAGTTTGTTTATATTTGATTGAACAGTCTCTCATATATTCAGCTCCAAAAATTGTAAAAATACTATCCTACTACTGATTTTGTGAACCATTCTACCTGTATAGGTGAAAGCTGCAGGTAAAGTTTGAGGTACTTGGTTTCTCTGATAGTATTTCTAAAATTTCTAGAACCAAATAATGTTGGAGACGGCTCAACCAAATACAGACAAACTATATAGTTTTGGAATCGGGAAATTGTGCTTTTCAAGAATATAGAACCAAATATAGCGCATCCCATTTGAAAAAAGCTGAAAGCATACAATATTTCACATTTCTGACATTCAATTTTTGTTTCTGATCATGGATACCAAAAATTTAGCCAATACTGTACAACTTTTGTATTTACAGCTTTCATCTACTTGTAAAGGTGAAGGCTGTAGGTGGGGTGTCAATATATAAAAAAACACCCTGTACTTGAACAATAACTTATTATATAAAGTCAGAATTTGTAAGATTATTCACTTTTTGTCAATTTGCCTTTTAACAAGAATTGGTAATGTTACTTTACCAAACTAGTAACATAATATGAGAAATTATTCAAGTACAAACGAGTGGATTGTTTCCGCACTTACGGGTGGACCTCTGCGGGATGAACGCAGCGAGTTCTGCAATTATCTATTCATTAATATGTTGTTCAAGTACAATACTAACCTGACTTACTCAAATGTCAGTTATTCTCATTGGTTCAAAAACTACACGTTTCAGGTGAGTGTCTTTTTTGAATAGTTCAATAGTATACTGGTAAGTAGATGGCTGCGAAACTCGCAATGCTCGTCCCACAGAGGTCCACCCATAAGTTCCGCAATAATCCATTCATTTGTACTTGAACAATAACTTATTATATAAAGTCAAAATTTGTAAGATTATCCACTTTTTGTCAATTGACCTATTAACAGGAATTAGTAACGTTTCTTTATCAAACTAGTAATATAATGTGACAAGTTATGCAAGTACAAACGAGGGGATTGTTGCGGAACTTATGGGTGGACCTCTGCGGGACGAGCGCAGCGAGTTCCGCAGCCATCTATTTATTAATATGTTGTTTAATTACGATACTAACCTGACTCACTCAAATATGAGTTATTCTTATTAGTTTAAAAACTACACGTTTCAAGTGAATGTCTTACTTGAGCTGTTTAACAGTAAATTGGTGAATAGATGGCTGCGAAACTCGCTGCGCTCGTCCCGCAGAGGTCCACCCATAAGTTCCGCAACAATTCACTTATTTGTACTTGAACAATAATTTATTATATTAAGTCAAAATTTGTAAGATTATGATTATTCACTTTTTGTCAATTTGCCTAATAACAGGAATTAGTAACGTTACTTTACCAAACTAGTAATATAATGTGACAAGTTATTCAAGTACAAACGAGGGGATTGTTGCGGTACTTATGGGTGGACCTCTGCGGGACGAGCGCAGCGAGTTCCGCAGCCATCTATTCATCAATATGTTGTTTAATTACGATACTAACCTGACTCACTCAAATGTGAGTTATTCTCATTAGTTTAAAAACTACACGTTTCAGGTGAATATCTTACTTGAACAGTTCAACAGTATATTGGTGATTAGATGGCTGCGGAACACGCTGCCATAAGTTCCGCAACAATCCACTTATTTGTACTTGAAAAATAACTTATTATATAAAGTCAAAATTTGTAAAATTATCCACTTTTTGTCAATTTGCTTTTCAACAGAAATTAGGATTGTCACTTTACCAAACTAATAATATATTGTAAAAAGTTATTCAAGTACAAACGAGTGGATTGTTGCGGAACTTATGGGTGGATCCAGCCATCCATTCACCAATATGTTGTTCAAGTACAATACTTACCTAATTCACTCAGTTGTGAATTTTTCTCATTAGTTCAAAAACTACAGGTTTCCAGTAAGTGTCTTATTTGAACAGTTCAACAGTATATGAGTGAGTAGATTGCTGCGGAACTCGCTGCGCTCGTCCCGCAGTGGTCCACCCATAAGTTCCACAATAATTCACTTATTTGTACAGGGTGTTTTGTTATATATTGACACCCCGCACCTACAGCATTTACCTTTACAGGTAGAAGAAAGGTGTAAATACAAAAGTTGTGCAGTTTTGGCTGAATTTTTAGAAACCATGGTCAGAAATAAAATTTGAATGTCAGAAATGTGAAATTTTGCATGCTTCCAGCGAAAATTTGGCATACGTTTTAAATAAATTGTTACATTCTGACTTTTTTCATACTTTCAGGTAGGACTGGTAGGAGTATGATTTGAAATTTAAAAATAACATCTTCAGAGGCGGTGTGCGGTGTGAAAAGGAGGGGGCTTCGTTCTTTGGAGAACTGGCAACTAGGTTTTACTGAGGTTTATACCTTCTTCTTTTCTGTTAAAGTTGTTGTAGTGCTTTAATAGAAATGAAAAAGGTATAAACCTCAATAAAACTTGATTGCCAGTTCTCCATAGAATGAGGACTCTTCATCTGGAAGATTTTGATTACGCATGCATCAGTTGAAAAGTTTTTCAATATATATTCTGCTGCCCATTTTTGTTGTCTCTCTTTGATACTGTCTTCGCCTGGAGCCTTAAAATTCTTCATCTTTCTCACCCTATTGTAAATGTCCTTTACAGAAAGGTCTAGAATGTCTTCTGAAACTTGAACAATCACTCTTCTTTGCTCATGTGCCGCAAAGTCAAGAAAGCTCTGATTTATGTAAAGAGCTTCGTACATTCTTGTCTTGTGTCTCTACACTTTTATATTACTTTCTTGTTTCTATATTTTCTTATGTCTCTCCTAATGGCTGCAGCATTGGCTCTAGTCATTACTGGTGTGTCAGTTCTAAAATTTCTTTCTTGTTCTATTTTTTTCTCTCATTTCTGACAGAGTTGCTTCTGTTATTTGTATCTCCTATTATGCCATTCATTTTATTGATGTCGTTCAGTGATGAACTTTGCAGGAAAATACCAGTGGCGTACACTTGATCGACCTACGAATGGAGAACCATACGAAAATATAGGTACAGAACTGTATGCCTTTCCAGTTCCACCTTCTAATGGTGTTTCTTGTATGAAATGCTGTTCGATTACAACCAAGAGAAAGTTGTTTTCACCACCATTTCCACTAAACATTTCCCAAATCAGTTTTTTGTGGGTTTTGAAATCATTGAAATTTTATAATAGTAAAATACGTATATGATTTTCTGTTAACAGTCGCACTGGGACCCTATCTGGGTACCCGGAGAACATGAAACAGGCGGGCTAACGACTGACCCCAGGTTTTCTTGAATTCGGAACAGGGGGGTTAGCGATTGACCGGGTAGGTGATATGAAAAAACAATGTGAAAAAACTTATTATTCAAAACTAATTTTCAAAGTAGCTATATATTTATTTTGAAGTCTTCTATACCTTGAACGATTACCCATATCAGTTTGACACAACTCCTTGGCCTAAGCATTTTATAAAAACTTGTTCCCTAGATTTTTGTTTTGGGTTATCTCTTGCCCAGTTCTCGTTAGCTTTTATGAAACAAAATGGAGTTATAGGCAACTATATCTATCAAATTGAAAAACCCGCCATCGGCCATCTTCTTGTGTCTCGCCGACCACTGTATGCGCTTGCGCTATGAAAACGTTCGGCAAATGTCAAAGATTTTACCAATCCCAACAAATTTTATGTCTACACGGGTTGAAAAAAAAAACATAAAATTAAAGTCCTAAACTATTTTTGACAAAGAAAGTAGGGATGAGTAAGTAACGCTAAAAAAAGTTAATTGAGGTCATTGCCTAACCTCCCTGATCCAGGTGGGACTGTTAAGGGTTAAGTATTTTTAGTGAATTCTTCATCTCCAATAGATGTCCTCTTCTAGACATTATTCTCCTTGCTATCTTTCTTCATCCTGATGACCTTCTTTTAACGAATCTGGTGAGATGGTTCAGTTGTGAAGTCAAATTCTCTTCTTCTTGACATTGATATGGTTATAGTCGTAATACATGAAATATAATAATTTCACTGGATCTATTTATGCTGAAATCGTTTCTTAACACATCTAAATTGATGCTTACACAAAACAAAAATAAATTAAAACGGCATGATCTGCGTTGCTAAACATATAAGCTCGATTCAATATAGAATGCATTGTTAGATTCTAATTATTTTAATCATTTTTAGCTGCTGCTGCCGATGGTCTTCAACTAAGAACTTATCCAAACTCTCAGGAAATCAAAGAAAGTGAGTATTATTTATATATTTTTACTCTAGTATTTATTTAATTTCATTAATAGGTATATTTAGCTTATTGTTAATACACATGCCTCTTACTTTGATTTAAAGATATTTCAGTTAAATTTGCAAAAAAAAAATGTTTATCAATTGATTTTGATTCATACCTATATGACTTTTATTCACTATTGATAAAATATGATAGACTTCACAAGTATGAGTCGTTACGTTGATTAATAAACTTCAAAAGTAATACTTTTTTCTAAAATAGTATAGTTATTGTTATATTAGGAGTAGAAGCTTTACTTTTTTGTGCTGAAGCAGTAGGTTTGCGAGCCGAACGTAGTGAGACTTGCAATACTGCTGAAGCACAAAAAAGAGCTTCAACTCCGTATGCAACACGTTATTTTTTCTCCAAACGAATGGGGTAAGCTCGGGGGTAACTAAATGGTTGAGCAGCAGTAAAAGTACGAGCGGCACTAAAAGTACTTTTGCGGCCCGCTGCGGTTTTCTAGCAGCATAGAAATTAAATTTCTACCACCTAGACAGGTGTTAACCCGCTGGATTTGCCTAGCAGCATAGAAATCAAATTTCTGACATCTTGACAGGGGTTAACAAAGTAACGTTTTTTTGACGTTTGGACAAAAAATAACATATTTCGAAATTACCAAAATACATATTATTAAGTTTCTTTCCGTCACTTGAGACAAAAGTTAATCTTTATAGTACCTATTCAGAAAGTTATCTTTTCATGTTTGTAGAAAAAAAGTTTTCAAATTCATGTTATTTTTATTGGGCTTAGTTATTCTGTTGTGTTATTTATATTGGGTGATTAATAAATAATGCTGATTAAATTTGTCTCCAATTAAATACCTACTTAAAAGAAGGTACTTTGACGTGTATTGTGAAAAAAAATATATCCACCGTTTTCTCTTGTTTCATCAGCATTGTTTATCAAATTGTTGTATTTTGTACGTCAAGCACATAATGTAACTAATTGTTTTTGTCTTGTCCTATGTATTTTCGGGAGCAGACAAGTATAGACTTGGTGAGTAAAACAATAGTTTGGGGAGTGGCAAAAAATCATCCTGCTGTTTTGCTATACATATACTGGATAATTTTATTTATAAAATTGTATCATTTTCATCTTAATAATTAATTACTTCAGGTTAAGCAGACATGTATAAAATCACAATTTCATTTGAACTTACTTACATAATTACGATAACAGTTTTCAAACAAGGACTGTGGCATTAGTATAATTTTGCTTTATAAATATATCAAATGCAAACATTATAGGATATTGTTTAGAAACTATAAACGGATTAAATTTCAATATTGTCAGATGAAGCATCTGTAGGATCGAAAAGAAAATCCGAGTAATTATATTGATTACAATCTTTTTCAAACATTACTAAATCTGTTTAGAAACAAAAAAAAAAACTGGATACGATTTTGATACTATATCAGATGGAACAATGTTTCACCTTTCACCCAAGTGGAACAGTGAACAAAACTGCCGGATTTGAAGTAACGAAAATCCTAGAGCTTACAATAAATTGGAAATGGAACTGAGAAATAATTATTGTTTCTAATGTCATCACATGTAAATAGTGGTCCATATATAGCAGTTTATTTATTAGAACAATATTTTATACATAATATAATCCAATACTTTCGATTATAGTTTTAAAAAAAAAACATAACTAAATCAGAAGTAGGGGAAAATGTTCCACAATGAGACAAAAATTGCGTTTCGGTCAATAGTCAGAAGTTATGATGGAGTTTTGTAATTTCGATGATGCATGCTCATAGATTGACATATTTCTCATAATTTAACGCAATTAGATTATTATTATATCGATTCAAAAAATAAATAGGGCAATTTTTGTAAAACGCGATTTTTGTCTCATTGTGGAACAAGTATGTTCCACAATGAGACAAGTCCTTTTAGATTAAAAAACACTACAAAAAATATTGAAAAAAAACATTTATAAAAGAAAAACAACCATTCTTTCAAAGAAACAGTAGAGCAACTTAAAATATTAATCCGACAAATCAAAAATATAATAAAACCCTTGAAACTATGAACGCACATTAAAATGAGGTTGAATTTACTTCAAAACGTATTAGAGACTGTTTCCTCTTAGTTTTCCCGGTCGTTTAATGTTTGGAAAGTATTCGCATGATGTTTTTTTCTTCGACCATACTTATATCTTCTGTTACGGGGTAGAAAAAGCAGTTGTCAGATTGTCTCATTGTGGAACCTTTTCCATATTTTTTTAAGAAGTTGGCAAAAATGTATTGATTGCTTAAAACATCCCCAGTTTATACAGAATCCCAACCCAAACATGCCTTAACAATTCCAGAATTTCCAATTTATCAAAAAACCACCGAATTTTATTTAATCACCAATTGAAAATATCGACTGTAAAAAAAAATTACCCCAATTTGAGCTATGGTAGTCACTAAATAAGCCTAAAATTCACTAAATTTCGTAAAAATTGTAGGAGCACATGCACAATAAGTTATGTTCGACGTTCATATTTGTTTAAACTAAATAGGCGGGCAGTTTAGAAAGTTATTTCGAATGTTTCATTGTGGAACATGTCTCATATATTGTGGAACACTTTCCCCTACTCAGGTATAATATTACGAACTAGGTGAAGGTACATTGATCATTTCTCCATATTATAAGGCGATTTTCAGCCTGGAATGATTATTTATCGGTAAATACCGTGGTTATTCTTTTGGTTGACAACTTTGACAGCCAAGGGTAACGTCATGGCCCCCCACCATTCAAGAATCATAACCCAAGGAACTGACCGCTGAAATGATTTGGTTATAGCAGTGTAGGATTATGTTTATTATTCTTATTTGTTTTTTCATTTCAACAATAGTTTTTTGTTTAGGTACAAAAAATGGAGCTGAATCTCTCGTTACTCTCGTTTATCGAACAGATTTTCTTTGGGGATGATCTAAACCTCGATCTAAACATGGTGAATTGCAGTGAGTGAGTGAATGTATACTTCTTCCATTGTGCCAGGCTACAACGCAACTGCAAAATCACAAAACACCAATACAAATTCCAAAAATAATAACAATAACATCAAAAAGCTGTAACCAAAAGATTAACCCAAGTCCAAAGCTGGGTTATAATCGGTTATAAGTGGTAAATACCAAAAGCAAATCAGCTGATATGTCACAACTTCCCCTACTTTGGTTAAAACCGCGACGGCGGAAATGCATTGGTTATAACCAAATAATAATCATTCCAGGCTGAAAATCGCCTAATATCATATATTTTGTTCATTTCAGACGAAAAATGAATTTATAACATTTTAAGTTGCCATACATAATAGATGTACCATTTAAAAATGCACCTTTGCATAATAAAATGTATACTCAAAACATTAAATACAAACTAGTATTTAGATGTTTGATCTTTTCGTTCACATCACTTTTTTCATATAAATTAAAATAAAAATGGCCTTGAAAATATCATACTATTGGTGATGTTTATATTTCCATGCAAAAAAAAAAACCACTAACAGCTTATATTTTGAAAAACGATTTCAAATTTAGTTTGTTTTTCTAAATACAAAAATGTTCTAATTGCATTTTAACCCAATTTAGATCAGGAAGTAGTATTCACGTGTCGTGATGAAGGACCGGTTAGGGCTCCGGTTGAATGGAAAAGAGCCAACGGTCTACCTCTACCGCCTGGATCTACGGACAATCATGGACGTCTGGAAATGCCCAACATTAAACTTGAACATGGGGGTACTTACGTTTGTGTAGCTAGAAACTATCCACCTGGTACACCAGGCGCTGAAGTGTCTGTCCAATTACACGTTGATAAATGTAAGAATTTTTTTAAATTTATTTTTAAGTTTTTATGGAAGTATTTGAATCTAAAGCTGGCAAAGGATATAAAACATCAATATTAAAATATGGCATATGGGCGCCTTTAGATACAGAATACCATGGAACAGGTAAAAAAAAATTACAATTCCCATGAATTTTATTAATATTGCTCTATTTTCATTGCGCACTCGTTTAAATTATGGTAAGTAAAAATGAAGAGAAAAACCTTGTTAAATTATCACAATCGGAAAAGTTTCGATAGTTTTTTTTTTGTTATCAATCACTCAATGCACCTATTTTTGAAACCTTCCACTAGGACGCCTCTTAGAGTAGCTAAGACTCTGATGAGATAACTCACTTATTTGTCCTCCATCTCTTTCATCACTGTCAAAAGTTTTGGCTATCCCACAATTGAATCATTTAATGGAATAATCAAATTCATTACAAAATACTAGCACTATACTATTGGATATTACCTAAATCCAAATTCACGATATCATTCTAATATTGATTGATAAGTAAACCTTGGATATTTGGATTTTCTGCCACATTTTTAGATTCTTGACTTGAACAATCATTATTGAAGCTCTAATACAGAATTTGATGTGTTAAAAGTCCTGGAAGGCAATGCAATTATCTGAAACTATGTTGCTTGATGTTTCGAGTTTCCATATTGATATAAAGTTCATCATAAAGCAAATTCAAGTGTTACATTTACGAACAGTTCGATTATATTCTAGTCGAACCACCATACTTTCCACAACAACCAGTCAGATGTCTTGTTAACCAATCGACATGCGCGAACGGCGACTGTATTCCAAGAAACAAAGTGTGCGACGGAGCTTACGACTGTACCGATGGATCAGATGAAAATAGATGCAGTAAAAGCGGTAATTTCGTATATCATTGACTTTGTGCAAAAGCTTACTTGAATATTTGCCGAATAGGAAAATGCGAACCAAATCAATTCAAATGCGAAAACAGCAATTGCATCTCAGCCGTATGGAAATGTGATGGACAAGACGACTGCGGAGACGGTTCCGACGAAAGATTTTGCCAGTCGCGGAGACCAGGAGAAAAATGCGGGCCACAGCAATTCACTTGCAGAGATGACCAGTGCATACCCAAGTATTTCCATTGTGATGGCTCTCCAGATTGTCTAGATAGAAGTGACGAAATTGGTTGCAGTAAGTAAAAAATAATTACTAATAAGTTCCACAAATACTTCAAATTTGTATTTTTTTAGGGGCTCCTGAAATTTTCGAACCACCACCAAGCATGATCACCCTGAACGTTGGACAAACATTCACCATCACTTGTAGAGCGGCCGGAATTCCTACTCCTCAAATTATGTGGCGTTTGAATTGGCATCATGTACCAAGCAAATGTAGCTGGACCAGTGAAAATGGTTTTGGTAAGCTAGCTTCAATTTTTCTGATCGCACCTACTACAACGTATTTACTTTAGGTACATTGACTTGCGAAAACATCCAAGTAGAAGACCAAGGTGCTTACTCTTGCGAAGCTCTCTCTACAATAAACACAGTTTTAGCAACTCCGGACACTATTCTAATAGTAGAACAACAATCGGTCTGCAGTGCAGGATACTTCAACGTCGAAGCTAGAACGCAGAGTGAGTGTATCAAATGTTTCTGTTTCGGTCACGCCACCAACTGCAAGTCGGCCGATTTGTTCATATTCCAATTCCAACCGCCATTCGACTCTTTGAAACTTCTTGGCGCTCGCATCGACCCTCGCACTGGAGTCGTTGACATTCGCGATGAACCCATTTACAAGGGAGTCGAGCCTCAGCTTCAACAAATCGGTCGCAACGGTGTTAGAGCTTCTATACCCTACTTTGCTGAACTAAATCAAGTCGATGTGGTACCCTACTTCGCGTTACCTGAAAACTACCACGGCAACCAGCTAAAGAGTTACGGAGGATATTTGAGATACAATGTCCTCCATGGCAATACTGGAAGACCTATCGTGGGACCCGATGTAATAATGACTGGCAACAACTTAGTTCTTCTTCATCAATCACGCACATCACCACAGCCTTACCGTCCTAACGAACAAAAAGTGCGATTCTTTGACGGTGATTGGATCATCAAATCACACACTGAACGACCCGCTACCCGCGAGGAAATAATGATGACCCTGGAAGATGTCAGCCAGATTCTCATCAAGTTGGAATACAACGAAGGAGTGCTAAACACTTCTCTTACAAACATCGAGATGGACTCTGCTGCTATTCCTGATAGTGGACTTGGTGCTGCCAACTATGTCGAGGAGTGCTCCTGTCCTGTTGGGTACACTGGAACATCTTGCGAAAATTGTGCTGAAGGATTTGCCCGCCACCAATCAGGCCAATGGCTAGGTCGATGCTACAAAGAACCTCAATCTTGTCCACCAGGACAATTCTTTGATGGAAGAGAATGTCAAGTATGTCCTTGTCCATTCACCTCACCAAGTAACCAGTAAGTTATAATTTCATTGAATATTTTCAGAAATATAAATTGGTTTTTTTTCTATAGATTTGGCAGAACTTGTCATCTCAACACTGACGGTAACGTCGTCTGCGATTGCCAGCCCGGCTACGTGGGTCTTCGTTGTGAAAGCTGCGCAGCTGGTTATGTCGGAAATCCTTTGCAACCTGGAGATACTTGCAGGCCTGTTGTAAGTCAATGCGATCTTCAAGGGACGCTTAGACAAGAGCCTGATGGCAGATGCGTTTGTAAGGTGAGTTTAGAAAACATGTTTCATTCAGAATTTACAGTAGAAATAGTAATGTAGAAGTAATAGTATTTTTAAATATCAAATAATTTAATATACTTTTTGTTCTTGCCCCTGATTCCTCGATGGATTTGGGTGAGTAATATGATATAAGAGGTTTCTTTCTTCTCTATTCCTTGTTTGGTACCTATTCTGTTTTATGTCATATCAGTATAATTTTTCATTTTTATAATTTTTTTGTTTTGTTTTTCTCTATCGATAGTGATAACATCCCAAAGTAACGTTTCGACGCCATTTAACGTAGTACCTACATACATAATTATTGATAAGTACATTGATGTTGGCGTGTGACATAAGTCTTCCTGAAGATCAGAGTTCAACTAAAACTTGATCGTCTGTCTAACGTTGCCTAAAAAAAAAATGAAATTTCATCGTTTTAATAGCAATGAAATTTTCAGCGATTCTTATCCCAGTGGCGGACTACAATCCCTGAAGATTTTAGCTCATTCTGAGAAAAAAACGCGTTAAGAAAATCCGGGCGGGTAATGGGCGGGAGCAAAAGGATCCCACAATATTTAAATGGAAATTGGTTACCCGTGATATTTGGATGAAATTTAAATATGTTGTTGGGAATGCCGTAAGCACCATTTTTTACCATGGGCACAACCCTGTATATATGACAGGTGAGGCGTGGTTAGCTGTCAAATATTGGAAACTTACCCTGCGTTTTTATTCTCATCAAATTTTACCGATGGATTCACCATTCTATGGCCGTCATTGTCCATTTTCCATTCACTAAACAAAGATAGCTAACTTATCGGTGAAGCCATCAATGAGAATAAAAACGAGGGGTTATATCCAAAAGCAGAGTGACTATGGTAGATTTTGATGAACGAAGTATCAATGTCTACTAAGTCGACCATGTTAAGTCGAAAAATTTCAACGATTTTGACATCTGTCAAAACCCTGCCAAACAGCAGCACTCATCTTTTCCCGTTTTCAATATTTTATGATGTCATTCGACAATTTAAACTTGTATGTGAATTCTGAATTCAAAAATTGAAAAAAAAAAATGACAGAACTGTCAAAACCTGTCATTTGTTTTAGTAGAAAAAAATACTCTAATCTAGTTCTTTTTTATTTCAAGGTTGTTTATTAGTGATAAAACATTAAACAAAGTTCATGCATGTCACATTTTGACTCTGACAGTTGTCAAAATGTGACATACCCCAAACTTTGTTTAATATTTTATCACCAATAAACTACCTTGAAACAAAAAAAAATCAAATTAAAGTATTTTTTTCTTCTAAAACAAATGACAGGTTTTGACAGTTCTGTCTTTTTTTTTCAATTTTTGAATTCAGAATTTACATACAAGTTAAAAATGTCAAATGACATCATGAAATATTGAAAAATGGAAAAGATGAGTGCTGCCATTTAGCAGGGTTTTGACAGGTGTCAAAATGGTTGACATTTTTCAACTTAACTTGGTCGACTTAGTAGAAATAAATTTTTTGTTCATCAAAATCTGCCATAGTGACTCTGCTTTTGGATATAAGATTCCAATATTTGACAGCTAACCACGCCTCACCTGTCATATATACAGGGTTGTGCCCATGGTAAAAAATGTTGCTTATGGCATCCCCAACAACATATTTAAATTTCATCCAAATATCACAGGTAACCAATTTCCATTTAAATATTGCGGAGTCCTTTTCTGAGGGCCTGTTTTTATAGAATCCGGCTCCAAATCTTGGGATAATTAGTGTATGGAGTTCGAGGGGTCCCAAAGGTGGAAGTTATCTCAACGTTAGTAAATTACCTACGAATTGACGTTGCGCCTTAATCCGGTCACACCTAAGTGGTAAGAAGATCATTAGGCCAACGTTGATGTACTGCCGTTGTAGCTAAAGTCATAATAGGATTACAATATAGGCCCATTGCTTGCAACGTTGGAATAAGTGCAGATTTCGTTGCAATACGGAAATATGTTACTTGGGATAGTTACACGAATTTAACTAGTGACTAAACTGAAGTAGAATAGAATATTAATAAATTCAAAAAGTGTCAATAACCTCATCTTCAATACATATCCATTATTCAAATAACATTTAGTCACATTATATAGCTATACCTAAAATCTTAGAAACTGAAAGTGTCAGTCTTCTGGAATTTTCAATGAATCCTTTTACAGACTAGTCTTACTATTATTTGTAAAGTAGATAGACATATCCTGTTCAAGTGTAAGGAACGTTCTTATGTGCTGATGAATAGGCATTGATTGTAGCCCTATAATCATCAAGACTTCTTTCTGGGTGACGTAGCATTCCCTCCAGAATGACACAAATGTTTTCGTCCCGGTTTCATGAAAGTCCCATATTATGTTATTTCCTTAAATTTATTTTTCATTGTACTCAAGATGAGATGAATTTATTCACCTGTGAGTTATTTTATAGGTAATTAGAAGTGGGGGATCAATACTAAATCATGAATTTAAAAAAATCAACTAGATTGAGATTCTCTAACATATACTTCAGTTATTGAGTTGATAATGATATAATATTTATACTATGTAACTTTTTCCTTATTGTATCCTGTAGAATATTAGAGATGAAAATAATATTGATGTCAAAATAGATACAGCAAGTGAAACGTCCTTATAGGTATACCACACATTTATTTTCACACGAGTCGCACAAACATATCGTCCTCAAAATCTTTAAACTCATAAGTTAATTTTATCACTCACTGCCATAGTGACTTAATAAAAGCTAGATTTTCTAATTATTATTAATTAACTATTTTTCTCTAGGAATACACTACCGGCTTTTCCTGTAACGAATGTAAGCCGAACTCATTCAACCTAAATCCTAGAAATCAATTTGGATGTATTTCCTGCTTCTGCATGGGAGTTACACAAGAATGTACCAGTTCAAGTTGGTACAGAGATACTGTAAGTGAAAATCCCCTGAACTTAATCAGGAAAATTGATAATATTTTTTATTCTAGATACAATCAGTATTTACTAGCTCGATTAACGAATTCAGGCTTACCGACATTCACAAAGAGAATACATTCACCGAAGGTATCAGGCTTAATCAAGACACACGTGAAATTGCTTACAGTGCCTTTGGTCAGCCCGGAGCTTATTATTGGTCACTTCCGAACAAATATCTTGGCGACAAGATTACTTCTTATGGCGGGTACCTTACGTATACATTCAGAAACACTCCTGTGCCTGGTGGTGCCAGCTCGCGTAACAATGCTGCCGATGTAGAACTTGTTAGCGTAAGTTGGTAATTTTTTTTTAGAATTATTTTGATAATATTTTTCAAATATTTTTCTAGGCCAATCATATCAGTCTGCAATATTTCTCCTCAAACGTTACTCAATCAACAAATTCGGCTCAACAATTCAGGGTGCCACTTTTGGAACAATACTGGCAAAGAAATGACGGTGAAAAAACCGACAGAGAACATCTGCTTATGGCTTTAGCTGACGTTAAAAATATATATATTAAGGCAACTTACTTTACCAATTCCCAGGAAGCAGCGTAAGTGTTTCTGCATTTTAGTACTTTATACAAAAACTCAAAGAAATTTTTAGTTTGATCTCAGTCTCTCTTGACATTGCCACTGACCACAACACCGGCAGAGAACGAGCCTACGAAGTAGAACAATGTCATTGTCCGCCGGGTCATACCGGATTATCCTGCGAAGACTGCAACTTTGGTTATACAAGGTCTGACGAAGGTATTTATTTGGAATTGTGTAAGCCTTGCGAATGTAATGGATATTCCAACGACTGCGATCCAGAGACTGGAGTTTGCAGAGTAAGTGTAGAATGTTTAGACAACTTGCCTAACTTCCGTAGGTAAGCCAGTAGTAAAAAGAACTTGTTTTAATACTGATTAATTAATTTATTGAGCGATAACAGCTTACAACATTCGACTCGACTTGAGGCGATTTTCAGCCTGGAATGATTATTATTTGGTTATAACCAATGCATTTCCGCCGTCGCTCGCGGTTTTAACCAAAGTAGGGGAAGTTGTGATGTCACATATCAGCCGATTTGCTTTTGGTATTTACCACTTATAACCGATTATAACCCAGCTTTGGACTTGGGTTAATCTTTTGGTTACAGCTTTTTGATGTGATTGTTATTATTTTGGGAATTGGTATTGGTGTTTTGTGATTTTACAGTTGTGTTGTGGCCTGGCACAATGGGAGAAGTATACACTCACTCACTCACTGCAACTCACCATGCTTAGATCGAGGTTTAGATCATCCCCAAAGAAAATCTGTTCGATGAACGAGACTAACGAGAGATTCCGCTCCATTTTTTGTACCTAAACAACAAACCATTGTTGAAACGAAAAAACAAATAGGAATAATAAACATAATCCTACACTGCTATAACCAAATCATTTCAGCGGTCAGTTCCTTGGGTTAAGATTCTTGAGTAGTGGGGGGCTGTGACTTCACACTTGGCTGTCAAAGTTGTCAACCAAAAGAATAACCACGGTATTTACCCACCGATAAATAATCATTCCAGGCTGAAAATCGCCTTTGGTGGCATTGACAATTTTACAGCGACAGCTGACTACGACAAACATAACTTAAGACGGATACACACTCTGCGTCATGTGAATGCTGGTAGAATTGTTAGTGTCTATTTACAGTAAGTACCTAATTCAAAGTGTATTTGAAATTGAAGAGATAAAACTTCATTTGTGGCTAAAATCAGTATTCAGGGGCATCTTTTTGGATCGAAAGTTCCTATGAGTGTTGATATTGTTGCGTTGCATAGGATTGGCTGATTTATGGTGTAGGCGGAGCTTGTGAAGGGTATCGCCGGAACATATAAAAATAGCCATTTTCAAGCCAGTCAGTCAGTTCTCTTCAGGCAGTGATTGAGACTTCATCTCGCCTGTCTGCCCCGGTCTCTACGCCAGAGACAAGAACAGCTCTTTCCTCATTTGTTCGACAGAAGTGCTATGACATATACCCGGCACTTAAGAGCGCGTATTAGGCTGGCAACGCTATGCTGTGGGTCACCTTGCCTTAGGGATCACTTTATGTGGCCGGTAGACGAACCACTCAGAGCGTTGTTGGTGCAAGCTCATAGGTACGAAGATAGAAGAGAGAGAGTTGTAAGAAATGTTACAACCCCTCGGGCGCGAAATAAGGCTTCCAGAAAAGCCTAGTTTGTCGCAAGGGAACCCGCATTAATCCTCGCACTGGAGGTTGATGTCCTGGGGGAGTAATCAGCATTAGCTTACCACCAATCCCCGACAAAGTCCTTTTCAGGGCAACTGTCTGGGAGAAAAAGAAAAAATCGTTTGATTTCTGGTTCTTAATTGAGCCCCGCGTTTCCAATTCGGCACATTCGTGCAGCTTTCCGTCTAGGAAATCTAGACTCCTTCTCCTCGTTTGTCACTTATACTCTTGGACACCTTCTTCAAAGGTTCCCGACCCCCCGTGTCCGTCCTCGACGATTTTCGTGAATTTTTATGAAAATTCTCATCTCTTCTGCAAGCTCCACGTCGAATTTTCTTCCTCCAAAGGCTCACCAAGTTGGGACAGAATTTGCAAAAAGACTAGAAAGTCTAAATTATCCAAGCTTGACTTTTTCTTGAGGCTTTTTTAGGAAAAATCTCAATTTCAATTTAACTTAAAGCAAGATTAGCTTCGCCGAGTTGGGACAGAGTTTCTTAAGAAGACAAAAGTCGAAACTCCCCCAGCTTGAATTTTTCTTGAAATTTTTTACGGAAAAATCTCAATTTCAAAACAAAGGCAAAGGCAAGATTGCCGCCGAGTTAGAACAAAGTTTTATAAGAAGACAAAAGTCGAAACTACCTCTTGCTTCAATTTTATGTAGGGTTTTTAGGAAAAACCTTTTTTCCACTACAGTACAGACGAGACTTTGACAAAAACATACGAACCTTCAAAGGTTAGACTAGTTTTCGGACCTGGTGCACCGTTTCTGTTACCACGTGTTTTCATTTGTCAATTCTCGAAGCCGCTCGACGGTTTCCTCAGAGTGCCATCTGAGTTCAGCGTACTGTCGTTGCAAACAAAAGTTTCTAGACACCGTGTTCATACAACTTTGGCCCCTCGCACTTCAAAAAACCGAGTTGGAGACCTGCTCCCATATCATACAAAAAACGTCAATTCTCACTTCCTTTTTTCTGGAGGCTGCTGGTTCGCAAGCTCATTCCTTAAAGAACCAGCGGGGTGGTTTTGGCGGGACCTCCTCTCAGTACAACTGAGAAGTTGTACAAACACCCGTGGGAAACAAAAAGGGTTGTTGTTTCACCCCAAAAACAACTGGCATCCCAAACCGACTTCAGACAATCGACAAAAATGACGGACAAATACAGTCCAGACCTATATGGCGTCACTCTAGACGAATTGGAGTCAAGGCCCTATTCCTGCGGCCCTATCAGAATCCGATTTTAACGAACCTGAAGTCCCACTCGCCGCAACAAGCCTGAATCCGCCCGACGCAGCTACGCTCACTTTTTGCTGAACTCGAAAACTTTAGAAAGCAAAAAGAAATCGAAGCTAAGAAAAGCCCTTTGCGCGACTATATGTACCTACGTGGATCTCGAAATAATTGATACGTTTTAAGTACAGGTCACCCATTTAAGCTTGGCCTCTGAAAGTTGGATGCGCAATGAACAGGCCACTGCCCACCTCCCAGCAGTGAACTACATTTGCCCTTTCGATGGTGTTCTATCTGAGTCGCACACTAGTTATCCCTCTCTGTCATATTCGCATCTCAGAGGCCAAGCTTAAATGGGTGACTTGTACCTTGTACTAACATTTCCATTAGTTTGTTACATGAACTGAATTCAAGAGGCACGACATGTGAATTATTATGATGAGTTATCTCAAGTTTTGACATGTTCAGTAATTTTACGTAGATCACAGAAAAAAAGGTCTGTTTTTAAAAAGTTTATAATTTCAAAAGTTACAAGTTAGGTATCTCAAGAGGAAAACAATATGTAATGAAATTATAATCTTAAACTGAAGGTACATTTATATTTTAATTTGTGCTGAGCTGATCCACGTGCCTGGCGATGGAAAACATTTTGCGTCGGCAGGTTTGATATGGGATTCGTGATGAGTATACTTTGTAGTTACAATGTAATTCGCGTGACTTATGATTTATCGATGTTGCAATGCGTCGATAATTGAGTCGCACAGAAGTCGTCTTTTCTTGTGAGCGAAGGATTCTAAGAATAGATAGCTCGGAATTATTTTTAGTAACCATTTATTTGAAGCTGTTGTAAAGTAAATAGTTAACTTCTTTTGGATTTTATTCAACTTTTAGATCACAATATTTCCCTTGTACTGGAGTTTGGTCGCTTTTCAGGTAAACTTCACTTGAAAACGTGAGCTTTAACACGCTGATGGTCCCCTCATATTCACATGAAAGACGTTTATTGGATCAAATCTAATATAGTTTTGAATTTTTGATGTCAGGTTTTCCTAATTGGTAGAAAACGCTATTATTTTTTCTTTCTATAGAACTGCAGAGAAAACACAGCTGGAGAGCAATGCGAACAATGCCAGCCAGGGTACACCGGCGATCCAGCTCGTGGACAACCTTGCAGACCAATTGGACCTCCACCACCATGCAACTGCGATCCACGTGGCTCAGCTAGCAATGGTTGCGTCAATGGCGTATGTCAGTGCAAGGTAAAATATAAAATATTATCTGAATGGATATTTTTAAAAAAATATATGCTTTTCTAGGCTAATGTAGAAGGACCCAATTGTGGCAGATGCCGAAACGGTACCTTCGGTTTAAGCTCCGACAACATCCATGGCTGCGAATTCTGCTTCTGTTCCGGCGTGTCTGCTGAATGTAGCGAAAGTCAACTTTACGTCGAACAAATCCCAGTTCAAATCACAGAGAACCACAGCTTTATTTTAACTGATCAATTCTTTGGAGAAACCATCAAGACTGGCTTCAAAACTAATCTGGCTTTGAATGAAATCGGTTATACGTTCCCACCAAGCAGAAGAGAAAGACTGTACTGGTCTCTGCCGCCGCTATTTACTGGAAACCAAATTAAGTCTTACGGTGGGAAATTGGAATACATGCAACGCTACATTAACCTACCGCACGCACAAAACTTCTTAGATAAAGACATCATCATCACTGGCAACAATGTGGTAATTTATTGGTCCAATCCCAATGAACTTAAACCCGAAATAGTCAATAGTGTTAGCGCTAGGCTTCATCCAAGCGCAAACTGGTACAGACTTGATCAGAACAGAGCACCAAAGTCTGCCTCCAGAGAAGATATTTTGACTGTTTTGGCTAAAATCGATTCCATTCTAATCAGGGCCATACCTTCGACTGATACTTCTAGTACTTTCCTTAGTGATATTTCTTTAGACACTGCCGTTGATGTTTACACTGGCAAACCTTTCGCTATTAATGTAGAAACTTGCAGGTCAGTATACTTCACCTACTTTTGAACCCCAAAAAAAATATATATATATTGATTTCAGATGTCCGCCAGGCTATCGAGGAACCTCTTGCGAAGCTTGTACTTCTGGCTACTACAAAGACATTTCCTACTCCGATACCCACCCTCTAGGCTCCTGCAGACAATGCCCATGCAACAACCGGGAGGAAAGTTGCGGTTTTGACCAAACTTCACGTGGAGTTGTTTGCCTTTGTCGACCAGGTTTCTCTGGAAGATATTGCGAATCAAGTACGTATAAGACTTTTGTATGGATTTTTAGGATAGCGTAAATATCTGATATTGATAAACTCAAGATTCTTGTAAGGTGCTAAATTCGTTGCATGGTGTTATTTTTTTTTGCACGCTTAAGCTTAACAAAATAATTATTCGATTTTGCATGACAATGTAACAGAAAAATTACTTCATATTGCTGACTTTTATGTTAAATCTTGATCAAATTTGACAAAATCATTGTCATATGTAGACAAAGCTGCTATGAGAAATAAAATAAAATAGAACACAAAAGTAAATAAATAAGAAAGTAGGTAGCTAGTATTGCTAGTATTTACAATACAAAACTATGATGCACTATTAGAATAGAAAAATCTTAAATCTAATTTCTATTGCATGCACATTGGCATGCACGTACTTAGTATATTCAGAAAAAATTGTCAGGACTTTCGAGGAAAACACTTTTTTGTATTTTTGTGTCATTTCCACTCTATCAATAGCTCACTGGATGTGGGAAATAAGTCCAAGCAAATTAAGCTGGGATAGGACCATCTTTTTCCAAATAGAGGATTTATTGGCCGGTATTTGTGATGACTTTTTTCTTGCTCATATTCATCTTCGTGCCAATTTTTTCCGATATGCTCTTGTCGTTTGAGTTTACAGCAACTTCAACTCTTCAAAAGTTAGAAATGATTACGATATCGTCAGCTAATCGTAGCTGATTTAGTCGTTTGCTGTTTATATTTATGTCATGTGTAGTTTGTTGGTACTGGATTTTGGTTTGAGGCATATTGGACCCTTATTATCTTGTATAATTCTTTCATTCATTGCTTTGCTCTTCTTGGAAAGTTTGCAAAATTTCAATAACTTCTCTATATTTTCAGAAGGTTTTCTCTTAGTCTTGTTTCAGGGCTCTTCCTATCCTCATTTTTGTTTCTTTTCTTTTTCGTTTAATCTATTTTTGATGTTTTTTATGTTATTCACTTCTGATTCTTTCTTTATGACGGTTTCAAGTGAAATTTTAATTTACAGTTTGACTCGACTCACACTCTTGCCTTCACAATTTCTGGCTGAACATAAAAAAAACTCTACTTACATTTAACAATAATATATTTACTGCTGGCCACACCTAATTACATGGAAATCTTATTGGTCGAAGGAATTTACTTTAATTATGAACAATTAATAAAAAAAAACTCGAATATTTTCGCGCTGTTATTTCACGTCGTGCTTCTCCTCTCGGTTATGTTCGACAACTCTTTCACGCCGTAGTTCTGACTTTCTGGACACAGGTCTCTCGATTCTCGATTACTACTTGTTTCTTGATTGCTCAACCGACACTGGTCTTTCTCGCCGTAGTTCTGCCCGTTTACTCGCTCTTTTTCGATCACTGATTTTCTCCTGCCAAAGTTGCCTTTTTATATCATTGGTCCCTCCATTGTCTTAAATTTCTTTATTTTTTCTGACCTCGATTTTTCGTGGTTGAATTATCCGATCAATTAGTGTATTTGGTCCCTTTTTAAATAATTATCAAGGGCGTCGCTTAGTGGTTTGTTAAGTGGGTATCATCATATAGGCTCGTGCATGATTTATTGATCCTTTTAGAAAATTTTCGGCTCCTTTGGAATGTTAATTGTTGAAATCACTTACAAAAAAGGTCCATGAACTTTTGCTTTATTCACATTCCAATGCATTAGTCAAATATTTTCTTTAATTCCTATTGGCTGGTCATTCTTGAGAGGAAGGGTATCGGCTTTCAATAATTTCTGGATATCGATGTTCAGATAAATTTTAATTGAAGTTTCTGGTTGTGCGGTCTAAGTGATGATCTCTCCTGGGATGGTTGTTTGGTAAGTCCTTGTTACTCTTGATTAAAATGTATGTAGTCACTACACTATCTAGCGATATTCAGATCCCTTTTTCCCTTCTCAGTTGGGTATTTTCTTGCAGAAACTGGTATCTATAGAGCTACTCTCTTCTCTCACTTCTCAATCCTTATTCGAAGTTGCCAGTTTAGCATTCAGATCCTTGTTGCGACTTAATTTGATACTAAATTCGATAGTTTTTGTTGCTGTGCCTTTGTTTACTACTGCTGCACTTGTGAAGGGTTTGAATAAGTTCTATAATTTATTCGTCTTTGGCCATGGATCTTATAATATAGGGTGCTATGTAAAGTTTACTGGTGTTTGTCGATTGGTTATTTGGCATATCCAGATTCCTTGAAATGGATGGTGGATGGGTTGAATCAGGGTTTTTTTGATTTTAGATAGTGGAAAGTGGAAATGAAAAGGTGAGTCTCTAAAATGGCTCTATCCTGTACTGGAACTTTGAAGGAATGCGATCTGCTACTATTTTAAAAAAACGCACAGTTGTACAGCTCTCTTTCTTCATTACTTGGAATAATGTTAAGTAAATCGGACATACACTGGATTTTGGACGACTATTCTAGTGCTTCCTGAGAATTTTGTTTGAAGTAGTTTTGAAGTCTCTTACTAAGCTAGCACGTGCTTATATGTACTTAGAAATACAAAAAAGTGTTTTCCATAAAAAAAAAGGATCTGGTACCATTTTTTTGGTCATTGATGACAATTTTTCATAGGTAAAATATTCTCCATCTATTCTATTTTTAACCTACATGCATCTTTCAAAAACATAGTTGATAGACTCTACCAGCTTTACTCAGATATTTTTGGAATAATTAGGATTTAATTAGTTAGACACTTATATAATTTATTATTTTTAATATCCTTACAATACAATTTTATTTAAACTACCTACTCACAGCAATACCCGACAATATCCCAGATTACCACGTAAACATACAAGTAAGTATGTCACCGTCAAAAGTAGTCGCACCGATAGGCCAACAAGTAGGCTTCACTTGTACCTACCAAGGAAAAAATTTAACGACCGACCTGGATATTGTTATACAAAATGTTAACAGCGGCTCGACAACTAAGATGAAGAAGAACTTTTTCAAGGACGGAGCTCAGGCAGCTTTCTACGCAGTAGTCGGATGCGTCAAACAAACTATACTTTGTATTATTTTGAATAAAGACCAATTGACGATTGGGACTGTTAGTGTTGAAATCCTGCCAGGTTTGCACCCATAATCTACCAATCACAAACCCGTAGAGCTTGCTGTGATACAAATTTTTGTTCATTTATGTCGTCTACCACCATATAGAAAACAAATAAAATAGGATTTAGATTTTTCTAACACCAGTAATAATAGTTATAGCAAATGAGAATTTTGTTATATTCATTACAAAATACTAATACGATAATATTATGTTTCTAACATCCCCATCATTGCTGGCACTATTCTAACTTCACACTTGTTTTGTTTATCGTTATATTTTAGGTTTCAAAGATCTTTGGTATTTTACCATTGGTATTTGTTTTAGTTTATTGTAATTAATATTATTAAAAATCCTTTAAATAATATTATTTCCTCACAAATGAATAAAATATGACCAGCACCAGACAACAAAACTAGAAAATACATCTAAAACATTAATTATTTTATTATAAACACTTACAAAAAGACTGGGATTTGTTTGTTTCTTATGTGAGGAAATTTAATATTCGAAGAGATACTTTAAACTCAATATTCAATGACCAATTTTAATTTGAATTTTCCTTAGCTGAGATCATCACTACTACTCCAGGCTCAAACCACACCGAACCCAGTCCAGCACCACCGACAATCGAAGTGATTATCAGTGGACACAATATTGAAATTTATGAAATCGGTAGCAACGTTAGGCTAAACTGCTCAGCTGTTTCTAGAGTGCCTCAACATGTAAGTGACTGCTTTAACAATATTTACCACTACAAAGAATTTGGATTTTTATAGACTTTAAGGGTCGACTGGTCCAAAGATAACGACGTTTTACCTAACAACGCAATCGACGATGGAAGAGGCATACTTTACATTAGAGACATAACAGTTTCTGATTCTGGTAGATACACTTGCAGAGCTGACGATGGCTGGTCTGTGGTTACTGAAAGTATCAATATCGTAGTTGGAGGTGAGATTTGTATCTATTAATTATGAATATTTTCCATTTTGATTGAACATTTATGTTTTGCTGCTCTTCAGTTAAATTCAGAGAGGGTATGAATAAAACCGGTAGGTGAAAACTGAATAAAAATTTATTGATTATATGGTACCTATGCCTATTATAATGTGTACATTTTGAATCCATAGAAGGTTCAAGAAATGAAGCTCCAGTCATCGCCATTTCCTCGCCATACGTTCAAGCCAGCGAAGGTCAATTAATTGAAGTGAGATGCTCAGCTACCGGAAATCCTTTCCCCGAATTTTACTTGTCGCGTCTTGATAGACAACCCCTTAATCCTTCTGTGAGTAATGAAAATAAATTGTCCCCGAGTTTTAATACTAATCACACTTTTCAGCACACCTTTGAACATGGAGTCTTCAGAATTTATCAAGCAGCTGTAACCGATGCCGGCCAGTATCAATGTACTGCCATAAACCGTGCTGGACAAGACACGAGAAGTTTCGAAGTTCAAGTCACTGCTGGATCTGTTTTGAGGGTCGAGATTGAACCTAGTTTCTTTGAAGGAAAATCAGGTAAATAGAATTACTTTTAAAATATGTATTTCCATACTATTGAAAATATCATTTAGGTGACCAAGTCCTCCTGAGATGTATTGCTAATAGAGCACAAGACATTCGTTGGTCGAAAGAAGGCGGCTCCATACCCTATGAAAGCAGAGATGAAAACGGAGTGCTTATCATACCAAACGCTCAACCATCTGATTCTGGTACTTACATTTGTACCGCTACATCTTATGACGGCACTAGAGGCACTCAGTACGCCACTGTTAACATTAGAGGCGGGGCAGGGTAAGTGATTGATTTACAGTGAAAATATTTAATAAATACAACATCGTTCCAGAGCTCATCCAACTGCTAAAGTTATCCCAGAACAATTGACCCTAAGGCAAACCGACACTGCTGAAGTTAAATGCGAAGCCACCGGAACTCCAACTCCTACCGTCAAATGGTCCAAAATTAATGGGGTTTTGGAGGGAAACGTGGAACAAATCGGCAATAGCTTACATATTAGAAACGCTCGCATTGAAGATAGGGGCATTTACGTTTGCATTGTGTCTAACGAGCTGGGATTAGAACAAGGCGTTAGTCGTATTGAAGTTACACGTAAGTAGGCGAATGATTTCTTTTATCAGTAGGCTAATTATTATTTACTCACTTAGGATTTGAACCTCCGTTGTTACAAATCTTACCAGAAGGAAGTTTAACAGTGACGCAAGGCAACAGCGTTCAGCTTCAGTGTAGGCCAACGAAAGGATATCCAGCCCCAACCATTACATGGAGCAGAGAAAATGGTCGTCCATTAAGTCCAAATGTTGAAATTTTAAATGGAGGCAACCTAAGGTAGGAAGCTAATATTTTTACATTTATGTGTTTATTTAAATCTTGCGTATTTACGTTATTAGAAATACCTACAACACTATAAAAATTAAGTGCTATAGTTGATTTGCCATTTTTTCTAGTTATTAGGCTTTCTTCACTTCAGACTACATATATTATTAACTTGAAGCCAAAATAGTCATGTATCAAAAAAATAAAAGAAAAGCTCCCAGGACTTTGAAAACGATATACAAATTTGAGGACGATTGGCAAATTAATTTAAGTTGTACAGGGTGGCCCATTTCCGATGTTTTAATAGGCTATATCGAAAACCAGCAGAGATATCAAAAATCTGGGAGCATATTCTCGTCCTCTTTTTTTGAGAAAATAATAATGGCGAAGACAAATCACGTCTAACTTGATGCGTTTAGGAAATACAGGGCACTTTTCAAATTTTTTCCAATTTCAAAACACCCTCTAATTTCTTTATTAATCAAGGCATCCAAAAACGAAAAATACTTTCTATGGGCAGTTTTTCAAGGAGAATCCAGTGGCATGACCAATTTTTCTCCAGATGCCTCCGATTTTGGAATATTGACCAAAGTTGTGTTTTTTTAAATGGGATACCCCGTATATTATTTTTTATTGAACAGCTCTTTGTGAGCTGATTTCAATGATATAAGGTTTTACACCTTTGCCTTCCATAGTTTTGGAGAATTTTTTTTTTTTCCGTTTTTCCATAAGACACAATGAGCTAGAGAGAGATAAGTCATTAAATAAATTATGTGTTACCTATTTATAACCCCCGATTCATAGTTCAAATTAAAGAAAAGTTAGCTGAACTGAAAAATTAAATTAAGAATTAAGAAATTTGTAGCCAATTCATAGTTCAACTATTTCTTTCTAACTTATTGTTTCTTATGGAAAAAACGGAATTTATTTTTTTTCTCCAAAACTATTGAAGGTAAAGGTATAAAACCTTATATCATCAAAATCAGCTCACAAAGAGCTATTCAATGAAAAAATAATATACGGGGTGTCCCATTAAAAAAAAACCAACGTTGGTCAATATTCCAAAATCAGTGGCATCTGGAAAAAAATTGTGGCATGACACTGGATTCTAATCGAAAAACTGCCTATAGAAAGTATTTTTCGTTTTTGGATATCTTGAATAATAAGGAAATTAGAGAGTCTCTTAAAATTGGACAAAATTTGAAAAGTGCCCTGTATTTCCTAAACGCATCAAGTTAGCCGTGATTTGTCTTCGCCATTGTTATTTTCTCAAAAAAGAGATCGAGAATGTGCTCCCAGATTTTTGATATCTCTGCTGGTTTTTGATATAGCCCATTTAAACATCGAAAATGGGCCACCCTGTACAGTTTATTTGAACAAGGAGAGCATTGCATTGATCTTGCGTCATGCAATAATAGATAATTATGGTAGACATTTCTTGGGTTTAAGGACCGGGAGGTAAACCAAATGCCAGCCAATGTAAAACGCTACCTTTTTTTAACAACAGTATAAAGGAACAGAACCCAACTTTTGTCTTGTCAAATTTAAATGAAGAACAAAAGGAAAAGAAAAATAATAATAGGAAATGATAATAATCCAATAATCGTCAATTATTGGCATATAAATCAGAATTTGTCACTATCTTAAGGGTGATCATGCATTGTGCTTTTCTCCTGGCTGCATCAGGGGCTCTGGAGACATCAGTTTGAGTAAAGTACTCCTGAGCAATGTCTAATTTTATTTTAATTTATTTTGACAAGATCGTTGATTGTATATCTATAATTTTAATGTTTCTTACTATGTCGTCTCATGTGCCCTATTTCTCCGGTTCCAGGGCTTGAAAAAGGAAAAATAAAGTTCCGAAACGTCGCCGAAAGCTAAGTAGTTTCATTTGGTTTACCTCCCCGTCCTTAAACCCAAGAAATTTCTACCATAATTAATAATAGGGACACGAAATGAATATAATAATAGATAATATTTTAATAATAACTTTCATAAAAAATCCTAGAAATTGACAACGTTTCACTAATTGTGATCCTAAAGTTGGTGACCACATCAGGTATCATTCATTCTCTATTTTTTTTTTCAGAATTCTGGATATAAGCACCAGCGAAGCCGGCCAATACGCATGCACAGCAACAAATGACGCAGGAACAGCTAAGGCTTCGGCTTTCATCACTGTTCAAACACCACCAGTTCTGACTATAAGTCCCGAGCAGGAAATCATCACTAGAAAGACAGACGATTATCTGAAATTGGCTTGTTACGGCAACGGAGACCCGCAACCGTCGGTTAATTGGGTAAAGGCCGTCTCACAAGACTAGTAAGTAAACCACCACTTATTTATTTATTTTATTATACAACTCAATTTTGTTGTATAGTCGATCCAGTGTGAGAACAATTCAAGTCGGACCTGCCTATTTAGAGTTCACACGTTTGAAACTTGAAGATGCTGGAGTTTACATCTGCATTGGTCAAAATAGTGCTGGTATAACCGAGAGGAGGGTTCAAATTGATATCTTACCGGAACGTGGCGATAATCCCGGTAAGTGGAATGTTAATTTACATGAATCTTGACTTGTGACAAACGCGCTAAGTCAAAACGAATTAGCGTATTTTGCACCTATATTTTTCTATGGCCAAAAACTTTGGTGTATGATTTTTCTTCAATAACTGAAATAAGCTCTGTTGCAACCGACTTGAGAACCGTTCTAGAACCAGTAATTTCCAGTTGCCCACCTATTTTTCAAGAAGTTGAACGTTTATCCTAATTGACAAAAAAATTGATCGACTGGAAATTACTGTTCTAGAATGGTTCTCAAGTAGGTTGGAACAGAGCTATAGATTGATAGGTACCATTAAGCTACAGGGTGTCACGAAAGGTTTGTTACAAACTTCTACGGATGGTAGATCTCGTAAAAATTAAGTTTTTATTTGATAAACATATGTCCGGAAATGCTTCGCTTCCCAGATACAGGGTGTTGAAACTTTGTAAAAAAAAGCCAATTTGTTTATTAATTCTTGGAAATGCGTTGGACGAATTAAATGAAATTTTCATAGTTTGTTGACACCTTCCATGAGGTATCTTTTGGACTGCTCTGCTCAGAGTTGACCCAGTAGTTCCAGGGACGTGCCACAGGTTCTGTCGGATGGTTTTTTGCACGAAAAACATCGTCCAGTAGATTTATTTTCAATTAGGATATGTTTTTTGAATAGAACACTTAAAAATACAACTTTTTTGTCTTTTCATTTTTTTTCGTAAGCTGCTTTGTTTTCGAAATAATCCAGACATCCATAAATAAAAAAATAAATTGCCACAGAATTACCTGAAATTTTACCAGGCTATATGTTGCTTAAAAATTAACAAAAAAAAAAAACAGAAAACTTTTTTTCTAAAATGCACGCACTTCTGAGAATTAATGTAAAAATTGATTTTTTCTACAAAGTTTTACAGCTTGTATATCTGGAAAACGAAGCATTTCCAAACACATGTTTATTAAGAAAAAAGATTCATTTTTATGAGATCTACCATCCCTAGAAGTTTGTAACAAACCTTTCGTGACTATACAAATATTTGTAGTATTGTAATTATTATAGAAAAGCCTTAGAAATAGGTAATAGTTATCTTGGCAGCTGCTGTAAGGGTATTTTCAAATGTTTGCCTTTTGGAGAACCAACTAGCTGATTTTACCAGTATACAGAACAACTGAACCATTTGTGCTCTTCTTCTTTGATCATCAACTCCATTTACATCTGAGTATGCAATTAAGTCAAGCTCACATAATCACTACACTAATCATGTGTCTGTTTTGTGATGTTCTATTTGTCTCCATTTATATGAACTTCTTACCTTCACCCAGAACTTTGGCTTTCAGTTCTGCTACAACTTCTCGGTCTTTCTCTAATACCTTACAATGCTTCATTTAGTTTTATTGGAACCGTCAAAAGAGATGGTGTGATAACATCTAGAACATTACTGGAAAAAACTGGATGAGGGTTTCTTTAGACCAATGAACTAGAAAGACAAAAATTGAAAAATCTACCCTCTACTAGTTCTATACAAGATGGCCAAAAGGATTATTTCATTATTAGCTTATTAGTTACCAAGCGAGTCTTCTTTGAACTCTTCACTTTGATTCTAAATACCCATCTGATGTCTATAATCAATGTATTCTCTGGAAGCTTATAAATATATTATGTACAATCTAGGAATCTAACACTTGCTATTGCATTCTGTCACTCGATAGATTCCAGGGGGGGTTTATTTGAAATGTGCAATTCATATACGACTGACTAAGTCGCAATTTTTGCCGGTATTTCAATGCTAAAAAATGCGACTTAGTCAGACGAATTTGAATTGCACATTTCAAATAAACCCCCCCAGGTACCTTTGTAAAAGTTTGAGGATCCTCCTGATACTAATTATACCTACAAAGGTAACTATCAGATTACAAATAACAATAATAATATATTCTAAAAACAAAAAAGATTACATCACTTGTATCTTGGGTAGTGGTTGACAGGAATACTTTAAGAGCAGCCATAGAAAACTATTCCTATTGCTGGAAGGCTACATTAAATCAAAAATCCAATATGTTTCTAAGATTTCAAATGTAATCTTACATAGTAGCTCTCAATCTCATCAATGTGTGTATATTTTATGCTTTATAGGTGTTTCGTTAATGCTTTAAATAATAATGCTTCAGTTTCGTAGATAATTTAATATTAGTCTAACTTTCAAAGCTTTTATGGTTTACATATAGTTGGTCAGAAAAATTCACGGGCTTGTTTAGGGTAGGTCATAGATCTACCCAAAATCGTATTAACATAAAACTGTTAGAAATCATAACTATAGTTTAAACATTTTACTAATTTTGTGGTGTTGCTTTTTTATATTGTCGCCTGGCTCCTCTACTAATCAACGGATTTAGGCCGCAACCGATATCCAGGTGGGTTATGCTTTCTTTTTTTGATTGAATTTTCTCTAATAGCACAGAAACGTTTAATAAAACATGTCATTCTAATCCTCAGACGTTTCAAGTTTCCACAGTAGACGAATTTGAAAAAAAAAACGTTCATCGTACTTTTTGTGCTATTATAGGATTAGTTTGGGTTAGTTCAAAATTTAATATTTAAGAACATTAAATTATTAAAAAAACTAATCTGAATATTTTGCTAGTAATTAGTTGGTTAAAAGTGAAATTGCTAGATGTTTGCCAAATATGTTATGTACTTCGGTTTTGCGTAGATTTATTAGTAGTATATTTATAGTATAGTATTTCCAAACTCAATTGGAACAAGATACCAACTGATGGTTGACTGGTCACTGAAAATTTTCATATATATACCACAAGAAAAAAAAATTTGTTGGCAAAATTTTTGACTGGTATGAAAGTTTGTTGCTTGGCAATTTCGCGAATGACATGAGCGAAATTACCAAAAAGCAGCAAACTGACAAATGACAGTAAAACACTCTAGTGAAATAGTCATAAGAAATGCACTGCCACTAGTCAGCCACCAGTTATGATTTATGTTCACCTTGTTCCTGCCTTGTTCCAATTGACTTTGGAAAAACTATAATATTTGTGCAGTAAAAACGAAAAAAATTAAAATAATTCTATTATATAGGCGGTGATCAAGGAAGCTCGCCAGGAAACGTTGAAGAATTCGACGCTATTGCTGGGGCAAGAGCCGAACTTAGATGTCGTGTAACAACTAACGGTAAGTTCTATTTAAAATGTCTTCAATTTTACCATTTTTTTCCTAAAATAATTAGAAGATACTCATCACTACGTCGACTGGATTCGTCCGAACAACGAGTCACTTCCAGAAGGCTCTTACAGCAGACAAGGAGTCCTTTACATAGATAACGTTCAGCCATCTGCTGCAGGAGACTACGAATGTGTCACTTATCAGTTGCCCAACAGAAATGTGTTATTCAAAATTAGAAGTAGACTACATGTTCGTTGTAAGTATAGTTTTTGTCTTTGAAATTTAAAAAATAGCTTCTTAAAATATCCATAGCTATAACAAAATGGAACAACTCAGCACATTTCTCGTTTTATAGTTTAGTTAGTTTTAGTTTACCGTTTAAACTACCCTTTCTTTGATTTTTACTCACAGTAACGTTTCTTTTTTCCAACTAGCCGAAAAAGATATATTATGTGCACATAGAGGTACTGTATGTTTTCAACGGATCTTTTAGTTTTTTAACTTTTTTTTTGCAATAGTACATAGGTACCTAGATTTTTATTAGCATGGATCTTTAGTTTTTTTTCTTATACATAGCACAAAATAGTGTATGCCTAGTGTACCCGAATTAGCATATAAAATTACTTTTACTAAAAACTTTATTGTTCGTAGCACCACCTCGCATATCTTTGGACCCAAGCAGACAAACCGTAGAACCGGGCCAGAACGCTAACATCAACTGTAGAGCTACGGGAGATGAACCAATCGAAATTCATTGGTTGCCTGTTAACCGCACAATGCCAGCTTCGGTATACACAACTGACGGTTACATCCGTTTCAACCAAATCCATCTCAACGATGCCGGAAAATACAGATGCGTTGCCAGAAATGATGCCGGAGAAGCGGATTCTGTTGCAGAAGTTGTCGTTGCAGGTAAGCAAAATCAATTATTTCTTTAGTGAAAAGTCAGACTACAGTTTCTTACGTAATCGTCAAATATGTAAGTAAACTCAAAAATGTCCATTTTAGCTGTCTTATTGGTTCTCCACTATTTAATTACCAATTGTCTAATAAGTACTTTTACTGGTAATACTTCCTGCATACTGCGGAATCATTATTTGTTGATACTTCCAGAGAGTACCTAACGGATGTCAAGTTATAAAGTACTGTAGCAAAACGCCCCAAGTACTCTATTTAATTAGTTAGATGGTGAATGGCCAGCGGTATATTGATGGTGTTTATTTCCTTGAGCGGCTACCTATAAAATTGTGGAGGGGGTCTATTCGCAAAAGAGAGAAACAAACTATTGAGGTTTACTAAATAATAATTTATTATTCTCAAAACCAAAATTAAAATAAAACAAATATCTTTCATGTCTGACAGCCACTTCTATTCTTTTTCCAAATCAAATTATTTCACATCCGTTCAAATTTCATCACTACGGACCAGGAAATAACAGAACAATTACTATTTTCGAATTCCTAGCCATCATACACAATTATTTAAATTCTTATTAATTAGTTACTATAGCCCTTAAACTTCAATTGAACAATCCAATTCAAAATTCTTTAATAATTTCTACTCAAAATCGAATATTGTTAAGAGCAATATAATTTTCCTTTATTAATTCTTTGCAAAATTTATTTAAAATGTCATTATATTCGAAGGAAATTAAAGTTATGCAATAAAGTTTTTACAGTCAAATCACTCAAGTTTTTTGCACTAAAGTTCCAAAGGTAATTCACCTCATACTTCATAGCCATTCATCGTTTATATTCAAAATAAAACTTGTCACTAGAGTAGGTACTTACATTTAACTTTTCACTCGTAAAATTACTCAATTAATTTACTTCAAAATTCTCTAGAGCTCGCACATAATGTTGAACGCCTAAAAGTTGTTTCTTTCACAATTTTCCGTTTTTTTTTCAAAGACTTTACGCGTTTTCCCGAGGCAACAAAATAAAAGAAACTCTTCGCGAATTTTAACCGGATTGACTCATTAGGTACTGTAGAAATAACTCGAACTGGACTGAACTTAACCCGTAACCGGTGAGGTGGGGTTTCTCAAACCCCACAGATTTTAAGAATCTTTACCACGTATTAACTAATGGTTGGAGGCCCGCTACCTCCTGTGTAGCTTTCGGGCAGTTGTCCATCAGTACCCTAATGGTGTCAACAACGCGCGATATTTTACTTGGTGTGCAATATTACGATTTTTGTACAAATTGGGGTTTGCGTAACCCCACCTCACTGTGAATCGTTTGGGTTAGTTTGGGTTAATTGCTCTCCAAAAAGTTTACTTGAAATACAATTTTGCTAAAACTTTGTTCCTTGAATGTTTTCCAAAGATTTTTAGACACTTTTCTGCCCTTTTGTATTTTTTAAGCTACATTTTCAGTTTGATTACTTCCAGCAATTAGAAATACCTAAGTTTTGATGTGTGTTTTGTGCAGTCCCACAGTAAAATTGAATTGTTCCTAAAATATTTGTTTTTTGTTTGTTGAGAGTATGTACCAACGCGTTCCAAAAGAACCAATGTTACCCAAAAGTGAATAACATACGCGTTTTTTTATTTTGAATTAGCAGAATCGCCTTTTTTATTTGGAGTTTAGCAAACCCCACCTCACCGGTTATGTAACAAAAAAAATGACCTCACCAGTTACGGGTTAAAACTGAACTGATTCTTCTAAAACCGCTGTATTTATATTATTCGATCCCCCCAAAATTTCTTTGTCCATCATTCATTAACCTTCCTTTTTTATTTGTTCAAAATCGAATAATTATTTCGCAAATTTCCTGGTTTATTGGGGTCAAGAATGCGAGGGCAACACAAAGAAAGCCGAAAAACACGTGCGGCCATAAATCACCTATTTAATTACTTTGGCCTCGCTTTTAATATTTTCATGAATTTGATTTAGGTGATGACATCACGCTTGGTGACTAAATAATAAAATTTTAACGTATATTAATATTTTAATTAATTTGAGGTCAACGCTAATTTGTTTCATTTTCATTTCAAATACAGAAAATTCAGTTTTTGATTATTTGATTACATTTAATTTTTACAGTTAAGACATTGTAAATTACGGGTCTATTTTCCCGGGTCATTACAGTACCATCACCTGTAACTATGTACGATCAAAAATGAAACAGTTACAGGTGGGAGTACTTTATAACTTGACACCCTGTACTTTGTGATTTGACTTCAGTACTACTTGTACTTTGAACTGTCATACTAATCACTCCTCACAGTTTTTTTCATTGCCAACTGTTCTATGTCCACTGCTGTTGTAATTCTTACTACTACTGCTCTCGCTATTGACCATTCCATGCTTTTCTATACATATCCCATTTCCCCATGTTCTATTGAGACAAATTCTTCCTCAATTCCTTGAAACGTATTATCACCTGTTGCTATAGATCCGTCACCCACGATTGCGTATTTGTTTTTTCTTGTATACAGGGTGTTAATGAATAGTGGGATTAAACTTCTAGGATTAATAGTACGAAATAAGAAAAAAGTTAATAGAAACATAGGTCCGCAAAATGCTTATAGTTTTCGAGATACAGGGTGTCAAAGCTTGAAAAAATCGGTTTTTCAAAATCCGTTTCCTGAATTTCTTTAACTTGGCAGATTGGTTTATTTAACAGAAGTTATCTTTTGATTCAATTAGATTTACCCTAGATGGAATTTTTGTGGTTAACTTCTGAAGTTTTGTTGATAAAATTCAAATATTTCAAGCTATTTCTGGCACAGTTATTTTCATTAATAACATAATCATGTGGCTCAACTTGCTTTTCAGTTAAAATTTCTAACAAATATATTTTATATGTCTAGCCCAACCTGATTATTACCAGCCCACAATCCAAGCCGAGAACCATCTAGTCCAATCGGCTCCAGGCAACACAGTACAACTACGATGCCGTCCCGGAACCAGCACTCAAGAATTCGCTGTCAGGTGGACCAGAGACAATGCACCGTTGCCAGAGAATTCCAGAATCGAAGGACCGATTTTGCAAATCTACGACTTGAGGAAGGACAACGAAGGACAGTACTATTGCGAAATTCCTACCCCTAGGGGTATCGTTTCGGATTACGTCGTACTTCAAGTAGTCGGTAAGTAAAAGTTCCATAGAATTTTAACTTGAATGTTTTCGTGTGAAAATTGCCACAAAGAGAACCGTCAACTTTTGGTTTATTGAAGAAAATCAGAGCCATACAAAATTAAGGGCGGGTATTATAAAACTGCTTTGACAGTTAACTTGAAGTTAACTTTTTGAATTACATATGTAATTCCAGAAGTTAACTTTAAGTTAACTCTCCAAGTAGTTTTATATTACCCGCCCTAAGTCAACTTTCCAAGGTATTTATTTCCAAAAATTGCAAAATAGGGTTTTCACAAAACTCTGCAAAAAAGTGCCAACTCTTGCTTTTTTTCTATATTATAATATCACAGTGGATGGAATATCTCTTCGGACTGGGGCAAAATTAGCCCACTTAGGATGAAGTTATGCAAGAATTTGGTTAGTCAACTAAAAATATTAAAGTTTTTATACTTACCTGAAAGTTGAAGGTTCTAAAAATATGTTACATGTCTTCGCTCATCCTACTCATTGACACATTAAAAACAGTTATTCTTAGATCAAGATTTATCTTTTTGTATTAAATTTCTCTGCATCCGCTCCATATATCTTGCATGATCCAAACAGCCCGAACTCCTCTTGACTGCCAGCCTGGATGGTGGAGGTGTAACAACACTATCTGCATCTCGCAAGATATGGTCTGTGATGGCACCAATGATTGTGACGATAACTCGGACGAGGACGCTTGCGGAGTCACCGTCAGGACATCACGGGGTTCGTTGTAACTTAGACAAAAAGATTAGACGCTTTCTCTAGCTGTCTACCCATCCTCCTCAGTGTTGTCGTCTTGTTTTTTTTTCCAGACTGTTTCGGGTTGCGGGCGGACTTGTTTCTTTAATTGTTCGATGTTGAATGTTTGTCTAAGTTTTGATTATGATTTGATAGTTGGGTCATAACTTTACTTTTGCATGACAAAATTTAGACAAGCACTCAAGATTTGTCCCTTATATTTGTGCTTTAATCGTTATAACCAAATGTTTGTAAAAGTTCTCTAATATACCTACCTTATATGTCTTCTCTTAGAATTTTTCATTATCATATGTATAGTATAGAATTTCATTTTCTTTGATAATGATATCAAAGTTGAGGTTTAAATGTTGTTAGAGACCCTCAATGTTAGAGACCAACATATTTTTATACCTACAATAGGAAGATTTTCATACAATAAAATATTATAAACCATCCCGAAATGAAACTTTTTTCATCAAATGATATGATTCATCGAAAATGTTCATTCTGTTCTATTTTTCATTATACTTAATCATCATAACTTTAGGGATTCATCTGCAAGATTTTTTATTCATTTCAAAAGCATTTGATCCACGATAAAAGTTCCTTTTACTGTGTTGTTACTGAAATAATTCCGTTGTAATCATTATAGCAATTATACTAACTGCTTACTTAGTAATGTGTGATAATCACTAAACATCTCAGTATAAATAATTAGAGGTATACTAATTAGATTTGAATCTCGTTTTTTAGATAATCAACAACATTAGGTATCTCCAAATAAAACTTTATTAAATTATAATCCAAAACTTACACACGGTCTCCGTTCGTAGGTCCAGCTGTAAAGTCTCTTCCATCTCCGATGCCCGCCCTTCACATCTACCCCGAAGAAACCGAGTACCCGGTGGGATCCAATATCGAACTGAAATGTCAATCTAACGAGCCCGGAGTCATTCCCGCTTGGTCAAAGATCAGCGGCGGTTTGGCCGATAACGTTCAAAACAGAGCTGGCACATTGACCATCTACAATGCCAGAACTGACAACGCCGGAGCTTATAGGTGCGAAGCTACTGGACAAAGAGGCAATTATTACAAGGATTATAATTTGAATATTAAAGGTATGTTTATACAGGTTTAATCTTTCCTTTAAGTGTCATTTATCGCCCGAGAGTGTTTGTTTGAATTTACCGCCCGATCGTGCATAAAATAATTTATTTAGGATCTAATCAGTGATATAAGGGAATTGAGCCAAACAAATATTATGCAGAAGCAATAATTATAATGCTTTTTCCCCATTTGGTTCTTCCTGTGTCTTTCAACGGTTTCCAACATCTCCATGTATTTCAAGTTATTCTGGCCACCCTGTATATAGTTAACTTATTAGTACTTCAATTTCAGCAATAGGTATCCGTTTCCAATGCATTTCTCTCTCGGGAATAGTTTTCTTGATATTTCTGAATATGTTGATTGGTGTTGTAGTATAACATCTTCTGAAAAATGAAATGGAAAACAAATCGGACCTACGTTGTGGAAACTTACTCAATTTTACTTACTGGACAAGCGCCCGACATAGCAAATATTTGGGAAAGAACATCTAACACTTCTTATGGATTTCGGTCACCGACAGATTTTGTTGAAAGTTTAGTATATTATTTTGGAAGTCGAAATAAGCATTTTCTTTCATTGCACCGACCTTTGCAGCGATACAGGGTGATACTAAAAAATTCGGTCAAAGAATTTCAACTTTTATTACTGTAAAATATTGTGATTTTACCTTGGTAGATAAAATCAGGTAATTTTTTTCATATTCCATAAAAGTGATAATATTTTAACTTCTAGCATGTACAGGGTGTTCCATTTTAGTTGTACATAAGGCATATTTTGGTTGCTATTAGAGGGATGCGGTTTTCGCGAGCATTGGCTCCTCCGTCAACCAAACTGTCATCGCCCTTTTTGTTTTTCAGATACAAGTTTTTTTTTTTAAATGTTGCATTTTGGGACCCACCTTGTATCTCTGTTCTCCCATAAGTAATCGAAAAGGTGACAACGGGTTCTCATCAATGAACTATAAAAAACACGTAGGTATCTGGAATAGCACCGACCGTTGTCGTATATGGCATTTGTATGGCATTTGTCTCTCTCTTAGTGCGTCCAAAAATAGCTATACATATAGTATAGTGGGGGATACCTTTCTCTCTCTGATTCATTGCTGTTAGGTTTCCGGTGAAATTCTCAGTTTTTTGATACTTCGCCAGAATTTCGAGATATTGGCCAAAGTCCGATTTTTCAAAATAGAATACCCTATATTTTATTAACAGTGTGTTAGAAAGAGACCTTTCTCATTTTCCTTACAGGTATAGAGTCCTTTTTTAACACAAAAGGTTCCTATGATGAACACGGATCTTAATTCTATTCTCAAAAACTGTTAAATATAAAGCTATGGAATTTTATTTATCAGCAAAAGCAGAGCTATCCCCAATGAGTAAATAAAATATAGGGTACCTATTCTATTTAAATATATCGCACTTTTGGTCAATATCTCAAAATCCTGGCGAAATACCAAACAAATTGATAATGTCACTGGATTTTGCTTAAAAAAAAACTTTAGGAAAGTTTTTACGGAAATAGATTATTTTCATAAATCAAAGCTCTATGAAGCTTTTCCTATTAAAAGTGTCCAAATTGGACCACCCTGTACATGCTAGAAATTAAATTAATATTACTTTTATAGAATATGTATTGTTTTTATTCAGAAAAATGTCTGATTCTAATGACCAGAGTAAAATTACAATATTTAGAAAAAAAACTTTGACTTAATATTTTAGTATCGCCCTGTATCGCTAAAAGGTTAGTGCCATGAAAGAAAATGCTTATTTCGATTTCCAAAATAATATACTGAAATTTCAACAAAATCTGTCGGTGGCCGAAATTCATATAAAGTGTGAGATGTTCTTTGAAGGAGGTTGTGATATGTAAAAGAAACGAAAAATTTGTGAAACGTCTACTTTATTATTAAAGTAAATCGTACCGTTCTCATCCTGGAACTAACGAGGGGAAAGAGCACGGCAGAGAAACCCTCGATCTAACATTCCTCAAAAATCGAAACATACTGTGTCATTTTAATAATAATTCTCAGTTATTAATTCAATAATTTAGGTCAATTAAAGTTTAAATTAGGTACCGCCCCTGTTCTTGTGCTAAAATTTCAATTACGCACACTAAATTCAATCAAAACTACCTATATTCAATACTGAAGAGTTTTTGGTTAGTTAGCCAGTTTCCCAGCAGATACTGAGGTCCCATACGGGAAGCTACTCAGCTATAGTTGTTTTTGAGCCAATATCTCTAGATTGATTATTTCAATTTATTAGGATATTCTCTCGTCAGGGTAGGAAAATGTTAGTAAATTCAGCAAGGCCCTAATACACACTCTAAATTCACAAAATCGAAATCTCAGCACAAAAAGACAGCACATAATTTCTAAGGTATTAATTTACTCTTTATCTGTGTTCTTTACTGCATGAAACGATTTTTGTTAAATACATGAACAATGCACATGTTAAAAAAAAAAATGTTATAAACAAACATAAAAAATGGAAAAAATGATATTTGAATAAATTGAAGCAAAATAATAATTAATCAACTAACCTGTGAACGCTTCTTACACATACACTAATAACAAATAATTGGATTGAACAATCAATGTTAATGCAAAATAAAAATGAAAATTGAATAATGAATAATTAGAAACACGCGTCACGTTTTCTAAGGGACCAGTCCAGCTCGTTCTGTAGTCTAGTTGCGTATTCTCTTGTATCCTCTTCGGTTTCGCTACCTTCGTTTTCTGTGGCGCGCTCGTTCAATCCTGAACTGGAGAGCGCATACATGGTTGCAACATTTACTTTTATTCAGTAAACGTTTTTTTGAAAAGTTAAGATTTTAAGAAATAATATTTCAAATAGGTGGTTTTCCTCAGTGTACTCGACGATTATTCCTAGCCATTCCAAGTCAGAAAAATATTTTCAGATTTCAAATGCAATTTTCAATAGGGTTCTCCGATCCTGGAAAACGTGTGATCTCATTTTCCGTTTGAGTTCTGGCTGGATGAATGAGGAACATGTTCCAACGAAACGTGGAACCACTTAAACTTCCTCCTCAATTCCAGCATTGTGAATTTTTTCCTCAGTTTCACCTTACCATCAGAAACTTCCTGCTCAGTATGTGTATGTAATAATTCTTTGTCTTTCTAATGTATCCTCTTCATCGTTGTCTTCATCTTCATGATTTATCGAATCTTTCACCTCATCAGCAGCTGCAAAGCATTCTAATGATATAAGTTTATTCAATCTTTCTTGCTCAATTTAATACAAATACATCGAAAAAAAATACAAAAAATACTTCACTACTCAATAAAACAGAATAACTAACTTATTATTACCTTTGAAAACTTTTAAACAACATCCTTATTATACGTGAAAATAAAGAAACTTTATTACTGGCCGCGAAAATATCGAGCTTTACTCGTCGTATGTTGCTAGAAATAAAAAATTATTCTACATCTATTTGTTCTAGCCTCCGATGACCCACTCAGAGACGAAATCCCACTGCAAGTCCAAAGGGCAAAGAGAAGGGCGTCAGTGATGTTGGAATGCAAAACAGATTTAGAAGAACCAGTGACCTACTTCTGGAGTAAACAAGGTGGCAGCTTACCTTATTACGTTGACGAATATAGCGTAAGAAAAGCACAAAAAAAAAATAAACAACTCATTTAAATAATATGTTTATTCACAGAAAACTATTCAACTAAACTCAGTAGGAGCAATCGACGCCGGCACCTACATCTGCTCAGCAACTAGTCAAAGACGTACGCTAGACATTCCAATCGTCCTCGTAGTAACCGGAATCATTCCTTACTTCACTCAGGCACCAAACAGCTACATTACACTGCCAACCTTACCTGATGCCTACTTGCAATTCAGCTTTGAAATTTCCTTCAAACCTGAAAGCGATTACGGTCTTATTTTGTACAATGGTCATAGAGAAGTGGAAAGAGATGGAGATTTTATTTCATTGGCTCTCAATAATGGCATTCCAGAATTTAAATTTAATTTGGGTCCTGGCACACCCACAACTACTGTTAGGGCTAATGAAACTGTAACTGACAGAGAATGGCACACAATTAAGATTGTACGGAATAAAAAGAGAGTGATAATGTTTGTAGACGGAAAGGGGCCATTCATTGGAGAAAACGAAGGCAAATACTTTGGCTTGGATTTGAGTGAACCACTATACTTGGGTGGTGTTCCAAATTACAATAATATTTCACCTGAAATTGGTATTAGTAGAGGTCTTGTAGGTATGTTATTTGTTCTAAGTATATATGTAAACTTCTACTAATATTAAATGTGTTTAGGTTGCATTAGCAAATTTAAGATTGGATACTCTTATCAAGACATTTTGCATGATGGTTTAGACTCTGTTGGAATCACCAACTGCGAAACTTGTACGGAAAATAAATGCCAAAATCAAGGTACTTGTCAGGAAGCCTTGACAACTGAAGGATACACTTGCATTTGCCCTGCCAAGTTCAGCGGTCCCACTTGTAATAAGAAAAAAGGACAGGCTTGCTCACCATGTAATAACAATGAACCAAAATAATAAATTAATTATTCAACAATTATTTTTCAGATTCTTGTGGTGTTGGTAAATGTATCGATACAGAATACAGCTACAAATGCCAATGCCCTCTAGGCCGTAGTGGTAGGAATTGCGAAAAAACCGTTCAAATCTACGAACCAGCTTTCAGAGACAACGCGTTCATCGCCTACCCTCCACCAAGACCACTGAAAAGAACCAAAATTGAAATGAGAATTAAACCTAGAGATGTCAACGATGGAATTTTGTTATATTCCGCTGAAACCAACGAAGGTCATGGAGATTTTATCAGTTTAGCTATCAAAGATCGTCATTTGGAATTCAGATTCGATAACGGAAAAGGCCCGTTCGTCATCAGAAGCGACCAAGAAATCCAACCGAACCAATGGTCGGCGATCCTTGCCATCAGATCCGCTCAAGATGGTAGAATAATAATCAACGGACATCCTTCGGCTCCGACGCGTTTCGCCACCCTCTTCAAAACTCTCACGCTTTTGACGCCACTTTATGTTGGTGGTTACGATGAGCACAGCATTAAACTGAACCAAGGGGTCAAAGTTGAAAAAGGATTCAGTGGATGTATTGTAGATATTAATATTTCTGGATTGGACGATGCTACCATGAAAAATACCACTGATTCGTCAAATGTTGAAGATTGTGCTAGTGAAGTAAGTATTAAGTAGCTATATTCTACAAGCATAAAGATGGGAGAAAAGTAATAATGGAAAACCCAATTTTCTCTAGTGATTCAAATTGGATATTCCAAATACACCAACACTGTGGCTCGAGTAAATTTTTGACCGCTTCTTGTATTTTGTCTGCGGCATAAATTGATAGCCCCATTTATTGTACCTTGTTCAAAATTGTTCCAAACAAACTGCACTATAATAATATTGTTATACTCAATATTGAATCAAGTTCTTTATTAAATTATATATGATCTCAACATCTATTATTATAGTTATCACTACTCTTTGACATTAGGTCAGTTAAGTTAGCCCCGCCCCCATAGAAAATTTCTGGATGAAAATTATCCCATAATTTTGCTCTCATTTTGCTCCATTTTGCTCCACTAATTTCAATTTTTGCTCCATTACAGTGGGGAGACTATGTGGCATATTAGGTGGGGGGGCTGAATTAACGCTAACCCCCCCCCCTTCTTAATGAAATTCATAAATTTGATCATGCTCATTTTGTTCTGCAAGTTTTGCTCCATTTTGCTTCATTAGCGGCGAGTTTTGCTCCATTACTAGGAGAGACCTACAGAGCTCCCAAAAATCTCTCCTAGCAGCCTCTCCGGTAAAAATTTTAAAATTTAAACATGCTCATTTTGTTCTCCGAGTTTTGCTCCATAATCGGCGAGTTTTCTAGTGTTAATTCAGCCCCCCCACCTAATAGGCCACATAGTCTCTCCACTGTAATGGAGCAAAAATCGAAATAGTGGAGCAAAATAAAGCAAAATGAATTATGTTATGGAATAATTTTCATCCAGAAATTTTCTATGGGGGGGGCTAACTTAACTGACCCTTTTACATTGAATCTTCTTAGTTTTAGTTCAAGCTTTTTAATAATCCATTTCTCGCTAGTTATAGATGTTATGTTGACCCCAATTTCACCTCCTATTCCTTAAAATTTATCGGCTTTTGTCGCTATAAATACTTCACTTCCGGACTTTTCTGTTTTGATGTTATACTAGCAGGAATCCTCTCATACTATGTCAGAGTTCATGCATTTTCAACTTCCAGGATGACATCGACAATAACGTTTCCAGCGGAACCGGCTACCTCGATTCTGCATACAAACCCGTTTCATACGACAACAAAAAGACTGGCTGCTCAGACAATCCATGCAAAAATAACGCCCCCTGCATTCCTTTATCTCCGGTCGATTATAGATGTTCCTGTTCGGCAGCTTTTACCGGAAAAGACTGCGAAACTCCTATAGATTTGTGCAAAGACAAACCATGCCAAAACGAGGGTATTTGCAGATTCAATCATACCGGGTTTGCTTGCGACTGTCCTCTTGGATTTGGTGGCAGTAGATGTGAACAACGTGAGTAATAGATAAATCAATAAATACAAATATTATATATATATTTTTTTAATTATTAGGAGTGGAACTAAGAAACGATGCTCACTTTAACGGAAATAGTTGGTTGGAATTCAGCAAATCGCTCCTACCGCACAGGTACGAAAACGAAGCAGAAATTATCGCTCTCGAATTGTCAACAAACAAATCCGATGGTCTACTTTTCTGGCACGGACAAAGTCCAGTTGAAGATGGGCAAGGGCAAGATTACATTTCACTAGCACGTAAGTTTTACCGTGTGTTGGTAATTTGGTTCCTGGAGTAAACAAAAAGGTGCTAGCCCCTTTTTGGTATCAATATTTGATTTGGAACCTAGACCCCTAAAGAGAGTTGCAATATTGGTTCTCAGCTAATAATGCATATTAATTGAATGTTGAGAGTCTGGTAACTGGCATTATTAAAAAATTTCTGCCGCCAATAATATTAGCAATTATTAACCTATAGAGGGTATGCTTTTCATTTAAATTTGAAGTAACCGTTTAGTACCAACACTTTCCGTCTGTTGGCTATTTTTCGGGGGGAAACTCTGCTTGTTCAGTTTGTCCGATTCTTTGGCCCTTTTAAATTTTGACTTTCGACCTGGAAGGTTGAGCCTGGCCTGGGGGCAGCCATTTTCTCGAGTGAAATATTCATTACAGTTATCGTGGAAATATAATAGGTACCTTATCGGTCATCAGGCACTATTTTGATGAAATAAAGTTGCGTAAGGCAATGTTCTGTTAATTACCGATAAATTTAATATCAAAAGTCTTGTGATTACCGTTTTATTTGAGTCGGATTTCGATCCCCTTCGTGGTTTTTTCGAGGAGTCGTTTCTTTCGACGAAACCGTTTCCAACAAGCTCACATTTCTAAAGATCACCATTTTCGTGAAACATGGAAATAGAGCTTTTGAAGAGATTTCCTAGAGGAATCAAGTCTCTTACGTATTGCCTCCTGTACCTACCTCTACATTTGACGATAACTCAGAATTTCTAACCTCTATCTACCTTGATTCAAGGCTTCAATCTGCAACTTCCCTCGTCAAGTGATAGAAAATGGATGGTAGACTTCACCTTTTGTTGGAATTGAGGCTTGTATAAAGTTTCATTTATAATTTTTATTACCTTTTTTATGAAATCTACTTTATCATCAATTACCAGAATTACCAATTCTTAGGTTCGTTGGATAAAATAGGTAAGAATAAATAAATATCGTAAATACTGCCTATGGTAATCCACCTTAAGTACTTCAGGTAGCTGGAACCGATTTACACATACAAATCAGATAAACGAAAAGTTGCGAGAACGAAGTTACATATTTCATTATATTGGAAACCAAATTACGTGTACTGAAACCACTTGCTTTTGTGACTTTCTTATTTTTATTTTTTAACAGTTTCCAATGGTTACTTGGAATTCAGCTACGATTTGGGTAGTGGGCCAGCGATTATCAGAAATACTCATATCAAAGTTAACGACGGCGATCGTCATAGTGTAATATTGAAGCGGCAAGGAAGATCTGGCTCTATTGACATCGATCACACTTATATAGAGGAAGGGACTTCCGAAGGTAGTGCGACAAGTATGAGTTGCAACGGTAAATCTAGTTTCATCACCTCAAACGATTAATTTTATAGTAAAAAATTTACAGGTAATATCTTCCTGGGTGGTACACCCAACATAAGTAAAATGACAGGCAGCAGGTTTACTACAGGTTTTAGCGGTTGCATACACGGATTCGAGCTTCAACAATCGAAAACGTTGGATCTCGGACTCAAAGCCGTCAACGGACTCAATGTTAAACCTTGCTCTAGGTAAATATTAATTTTAATTAGTTGTATACATTTGAATTTCATAGAGTTATTACAAGATTACTGACCAAATTCTAGATTAGATATAAAAGTCAAATGTTATGCATAATTTCAACATAAAACCACATTCCAGTTTGACTGGAAACGTCATCAATATTAATTTATATGTATAATATATGGATCATCATCATCATGTTACGAGTATATTATTCTTGGGCAAAGTTCAGAGAAGTAGGTAAGTGAACGGATAGTGCTGAAAAAAATTGAGCCATCAGGGTGGAATATGTTGAAATTCTGCATCTACTTTAGTAATATATATGTTACGGTTAATATGCAAACTTGGCTAGTTTGTAAACTAGCTGGATAGTTTACAAACTAACCAACCCCTTGGCTATTTTGATACGAAACGCAATTTTTACTAAAATAGCAGCTAGTTTGCAAACTAACCAAAAATCTTGGCTAATTTATTTACTTGAAATTATTGAGAAAACTAAATTAGCTGGTTAGTTTATAAACTATCCAACGCAGCCTGGCTAATTTGAAAACCATGATTTCTAGTAACACAAAGTAGCCAAACCTTCGGCTAGTTTGCAAACTAACCAACCAATTTTCTGGCTAATTTACGAATAAAGTTTAATGTTCATGGTATTTGTTATTCGATAAATTAGAGATGATTAAAATGGAAATTTTTGCTTTTTTCTTTTTTACCTGGCAATTCTCACATCCATCGAGGAACAAAGTTACAATTTCTTGGGTAATATTTGAATATTTTTGATTTATTAGCTTTATTGTAACTTGTCTTTCGGCGTGCCCAGTTGATTGGTGAAATTCTTTAATAATATCGAACAAATCGTCCATACAAGCTAATATTTTGCCAGATTTCCTTCGTTGTAAAGTTGGGAATTATTTGCTTTATTATTATACAGATCTATTAAAGAAGCTTCAAATTCTTTAATCTAACTTTGTTTGTAAATTAGCCAGAAAATTGATTGGCTAGTTTGTAAACTAGCCAAAGGTTTGGCTATTTTGTGTTACTAGAAAATATGGTTTTCATATTAGCCAAACTGTATTGGATAGTTTATAAACTAACCAGCTAATTTAGTTTCCTCAATAATTTCAAGTAAATTAGCCAAGACTCTTGGTTAGTTTGCAAACTAGCTGCTATTTTAGTGAAAATTGTGTTTTCTATCAAAATAGCCAGTGGGTTGGTTAGTTTGTAAACTATCCAGCTAGTTTACAAACTAGCCAAGTTTGCATATTAACCGTAACATATACATCCCTTGAATTTCAAATCAATATTTAGATTTAAAAGAACAATTTTGCTCATCAATTATCAAAAAAATGTATTGATTTTTTATGCCACGCTATTTCCAAATTTTATAACCAAAATTTATTCTATACTATGATGAGTTTAATTTCAAATTACTATTATAGGGAAGTAGTCTGGGACGACATCATTGTAGATTCTCAGTAGAGTGGTCAGTATCCTAAATAAATTATTTGAGGGGTTAAACTCACCACACTTAAATTAACTGTGATCATTTTTTTTCAATATATTTATCCATACAATCTGTTAAGCATGCATAGGTAATGAACTGTAAAACTAAAACTATACTTACCTAATGTTGGTTTATTTTATGGAGTACCTAGTAAGTAAATATTCGTATTTTATAAATGAAATAATTATTGTTCGGGGACTTACCTACCTAAAATGTACAAATAGTCACAGCATGAACATTTTATTACCTTTCTACTAACCAAATACATACTTTCTTGCACGCTGCTAATAATTGAAAAAAAAAAGATTAAGATGGATTCCGTCCTCACTAATTTTTTCCGACATGGAAGATTTCGACGAGTTTGTAGAACCGCCTCCAGTTAACATAATGCACCCGAAACCATCCAGTGTTGCTCAAACTGTCCATCATCGACTAGGTTTCGTCTACGAACTCGTTATCGTCTTCCTTTGTACTTCGTCAATAAGAACTTTATTGTTGTCACATTGTTGACCGACTTGTAAATAATAAATTTATAGATTCTTATATCAATAATGCAATGAGATTGTATTATTTATTGTAGTATAATAATGTATTTTCCAATTTAGACGATAAATAAATAAAGGTATTAGGTAATTTAAATAATTATTATTATCATTTGGATTGTTTTTAGTTGCGCGAGTTCTATCTCAATAATTATTGTTAAACTGTTTTGCACTTGGGTATAAGATTATATTTTATTTCGATGTTATGACTGTGTTCAAGTTGAGGATATCTCAATTATTAATGTTTCCTGATTTCCTTCTGTAGCAGTTGTTGTGTTCAAAAATACCTTCTCTTCTAATATTTATCAAGAAATATGAATATCATTCTATTTCCTATTTTTTTTTCACCTACAATTTCTTCAATTTTCTCTATTTCTTCTTTGACAAGAGATAAAGTACAACAAGTCAAATTGGTCCGGAAAATAACTCATTCCGAAGATTTATGAATATTGTTATCTTTTTGTTCGCAACCTACATACTGGCTTTTACTCCCAAACTTTATGAAAAATCTGTACGTTACATGATTCATTATTTATTCAGCCAATTATTCATAAGGAGTCGTCTTTTTGTGAGCTGTCTCCACCCAAAGATTTTTCTTTAATCGGAGCCTTGAAGGTGTCAAAGTCTTTGATCCTGGCAAAATACAAAATAATTTAAAGGATTTTTAAAGTACTTATTTGTTCTTAGACAATTGTAAAAAATATTGTTGTTAATATATGTAATTGTTTTTACTAATAATATACCAAATAACGAGGATAGAATTCGAGCAGCTAAAAAACATAATGGCTAAAGCAAAAGTTAACTATTAGCATCTCTACTAAATTTATACATATCAAATAAATATATAAACTATTGTAATGTATTATTATTGGTAAGTTGAGGATAAGATATATCGAAACTGTTGTATACTTATTTGAATTTGTTTGTGATAATCAGTATTCTATGTAAATAAGATACAAAGCTAATGTTAAATATTTTACTACATTTTATAACAATTTGACTGATCTTTTTTCTCCTCCTCTTTAAAATGCTTACTGTTGTGGACAAATTTGTATTTCAGGTGAGTCTGGATGCACAAAAAATTGTGTTTGACATAATTATTCCAGGACATACTAAGCATGACAATCAAACTGAAATCATGGGCTTATTATCAATAAATTTATTTTCAAATAATATATAGGTACTAATACATACGGGATATGGGCATATTTATTTGTATTCATCAATGATATTTTTTCTAATATAGTGTTTTTATTCTTTTCTAGTTTTATTGACATCGACAACAACATCTGGAACGAAGATATGATAAATTAAGAGCAACATTCTTAGGCTAAATAAATGTCGCATCAGGCATCAGTGATCGAAAAGTCAAACTCAATTATTTTTTTAAGTGTTCACTTTCTTATTGTGTTCATAAAGACCGATACTCTTTGATGCTGAAGCATTTCTATTTTAATAATTTCGATGATATTTTTTTACCTTGCAAACGCATTCAGCATTGAACTGTATTTCAGTCTTTCTGCTTTTTATATTATATTTGTATTACTATTACGCTTGAATATGCTTAAATCTGGAATACAGTTTCGTTTATGTTTAGTTTCACAACTGCCATTATTATGTTTTTCTGATTGTTTTTTTTTTATACACCTTTTTTATACATATATTTCTTGTTAAATTAGGCGATTGTATAGTAAGAAAATTGTGCCATTGTAGAGTCTAGGTAAGTATCAGAAACGAAATACAGTCCATTTGTATAATTTTTTTTCCCCCAATTTTACCTAATAGTTTTTAAAATAAAATAGTCTTAATTTATATGGTGCTATTAACAATGTATTACGCTAAAAGTATTTTCAATTTTGTCTATAATATTTTTAGGGTCCGTCGATTAATGAAAAAAGTACTTACAGTTTCAAAAGTAAATAATAAATAAAAGCTTTACCATGTGATTATACGAAATGAAACAAAAACGTATCAAATATGGTGATTAATAACAAACAAAAAAAAATACATATTTTAGTCATTTAAGAACTATTGAACATTTTGTAAATGCTTTTATTTTAATTTCTCTAGTATGACGAACGCGGGTAAAAATTTAAAATGTGCAAAAAGCGCGAAAAATATTAAGAGAATTTTTACGGTTGTTACACCCTGGAAGCTTTCTTGATATATCTCAAGTTTGTTGGTTAAAATTAACAAATTATATTAAAAGTGCATTTTCAATAACAAGAGACAATAAATAAGTAATGTATGTAGCTTTGTGTTTCATTTATTTTTTTTAAGGTACCCAAACTTTTCTTCAAGTGTCTACCTACATGGTTCCAAATGACAGGGCCGCCGCTACCTTGTGTGCGGTGTGTTCAAAACACACAGGCGGCCGAATAAAAGAGGTTGCCGTCGCCGATCCTAATGCAAAAAAAAAATCATGTGCAGCGCTCTACACCTGGTAGAAGTGAAACTTCTCAAAAACTATCCCCCCTCCTTCATACAACTTTTAGACAGCTATTGAGTCGAGGTAAAGACGGAAAAAAAATGGTCGAGAAAAAAGAATTGTCGGGAAAAAAAAAATAGTCCGGAAAAAAAAGTCGGGAAAAAAATGGTCGGGAAAGAAAATTGTTGGGAAAAAAAAAGTCGAGAAAAAAAAAAAGAAAAAAAAAAAGAGAAGAAAAAGTCGCAAAAAAAAGTCGGGAAAAATAATTGCCGTGAAAAAAAAATAGTCGGGAAAAAATAGTCGTGAAAAAAAAATGGTCGGGAAAAAAAAGTGGGAATAAAAAATTGGGAAAATACAAAATTTACAAGCGAGCGTTTTTAGTACTTTGCCGCTCTAGAGCGGCAAAGTAAAGGTCATCAGGAAACGCCTACTTTGCGATCACAAATCTAATCGACAAAGCCTGCTTTCTAGGGCGATTGTTGGAAAAAAAGTTTTCATATGGTATTTCAGCGACCATTTTTTGACATTGTCAAACTGATATTTTTGATTTTGACGTTTTTATCCATATTTTTGCATTCAATTTATTTTCGAAATCTTACGTGAAATAGTCATGACGAATACCACTCGAGAAAAAAATTGTGTAGGCAAAATTGTTCTCAAGGTTTTATTCAAGTTTGTTGCTTTTCAGCAATTTCGCTCATGACAATTTTGTCAAAAATGTCATTTGCGAAATTGCCAAGCAACAAACTTTCATACCTTTCGAAAATTTTGCCGACAAATTTTTTTCTCTTGTGATATTATATCACGAGAGCATATTTTTCAATATACAGGGTGTCCGGAAAATAGCGTAAAAGCTTTCCACTACCTGATAGGGGATCTATTGTTTATTAAAATTTATTGTAAACCTTTAAAACGCATTATGAGAATTGTAAAATCTCTAGATTACAACAGAAAAATTGATCTGACAACTTTTTCTAGTTACCTTCGAATTTTTCAGGTAACTACATAGGTATTTAATTTAATTCTGTGACAAATTTTCAACGGGATATTTTCAGTGTTGCCAATTTTAATGAACATTAAAATGCTAATAACTTTTCTAAAAATCCAAACAGATTTTTTAAATTAGTTTTCTGGGGTTCCTTCAGGGGTCCGCCACCACGTAGTCAAGAGCTTTTACGCTATTTTCTGAACACCCTGTATTTTTGAAATAATTCGACTATTTTAGGAATGTTTATAAAATATTCCAAAAATGTTCCAGAAATGTTTCAACATGATTTTTTTTAAAAAAACTTGCAATGTATATTTGAGAAATGTTTATAAAATGTTCCAAGAATGTTTAAAGAATATTTCAGGATTGTTTATAGGAATTTTCTTATATTTTATAGAAATTTCGTGTAATTTTACAAGGATTTTTCAGAATTCCATTGAAATACTTTTTATAGAATGTTCCAGGAATGTTCATAGAATGTTCATAAATTGCACACCAGAATTTCCCAAAAATTTTTCGGAATTCCACAAAAAAATCAATTAGTTTCAAAGAAATTTTCTGTATTTTCACAGGAATTTTTCGGAATTCCATGTAATTTCACAAATTACTTTTTGATAGTTCATGAGTATTTCAGGTCATTTCACGTAATTTTTTTTGGAATTCCACTAAGTTATTTCATAAAAATTTCTTGGAATTTTGTTGAAATTTGAAAAATAAATTCACGATTTTTTTTGGAATTTCATAATTATTTATACGAAGTAGTTTCTTGTGAATTTTTTGGAATTTCACGAGAATTTTGATTTATTTCACAGGAATTTCTTCAAATTTTGCTAGAATTCCAAATAATTTCAGGAGAAATTCAAGGAATTTTATTTCAGTAAAATAACTAAGAAATTTCAGAAGAATTTTTTGGAATTTCGAGAAATTTTACAGGATTTTTTCAGAATTTCAATGAAATTTCGTGGAAATTTTGTGGAATTTACTGGTTATTCCGTTGGTTTTTTTTTCAATTCCACGGGAATTCCAAGCAGCTTTAAAGAAATTTTCTGGAATTTCAATTTTTTTTTTTTAAATTGCACTAAAATTCCGATTTTCTCCACAGGAATATTGCTAAGTATTAAGTAATTTCACAAGAACTTTTCGGAATTTCACGAGAATTTCATATTATTTCATATTTCACTTAAATTTTGAGTTATTCTACGGGAATTCCATGTAACTTCACGAGAATTTTTGGGAATTCAATAAAAAATTTAAGTAATTTCGCAAGAATTCCACTTAAATTACAAGTATGTAACTTTAAAGAATTTTTTATTTTGGAATTTTACAAGGATTCTATGTAATTTTACAGGATTTTTTTTTGAAATTTAGCGAAAATTCCGGAGGCATTGAGTCGAATACTCGGAAAATTTCGTTGTAGTTTTTTCGCAGTATTACATAATTTTACCGGTATCCCACATAATTTCATTATAATTCTAAATAATTTTAAAAGAATTTTTAAAGTTGCATGAAAATTTAATGAAATTTTCACGGGAATTTTATGGACTTTCACGAGAATAACTTGGAATTCCGGGAAAATTACGTTGAATTTTCGGAAAATAGATGGAATTTCATTCGAATATTTTCGAAATACCACAAAATTTTAACGGAATTTCACTGAACTTCTAAATAATTTCACAAGAATTATTTGAAATTTCACGAGAATTTCATTTAATTTTTACAGGAATCTTCTAGAATTCCAGGAAAAATAATGGAATTTCATCGGAATTCCACGTAATTTCAAAAAATTCCCAAATATTTGAGTAAGTTGTTAGTAGCTTATTATTTATTAGTTATTTCAAATTTCAATAATTATTATTAATTGATTAATAAAAATTTGCTTGAATTTTAAAGTATAAGGTAAAATTCAGCGCAACCGTAACGACGGTGTCAAGGTCTCTGAAATGTACTGGAAAAATTCTTTTTTTTAGTAAATTTAAAAAAAAAAATTGTACACCAGAATTCCGCGTAATACCATTAAAATTCTCTGAAATTCCACTAAAAATCTATGTAATTTCAAGGAAATTTTCTGTAATTGCAAGAAATTTTACAGAAATTCCTCTGAAATTCACAGGAATTTTAAATAATATCATATTTTTTTTTTGGAATTTCACGAGAAGAATTTAAAATTTTGCATTTACGAGAATATCTATTTTCTCAAAGAATCGTAGAATCCATTTGAAATAGTGAGAAAACATTTCTAGTACCTAACCTCTGCATTGATTGATTGTTATCTGGAACCTAACAATCTTCCATTAAATTTCCATAATTCCATCGATAGCTCTTTGGGAGCAGGCAACGCCATCAGCTTCAAAAGCAGTAAATAAGCATCCAAAAATGTATATAATACCTACAGGTTTATGGTGTATGGTCTGAGAGTAATCAATAACCATCTTTTTCTGATGATTTCCTTATTAATGCCTGAGCTTCCCAGGTTGAATTGTTTTTCTCAATGATATCTTCAGATAATAACTTTTTCACTTCATCAGAGACATAAACTTTTGCACCTTTTTCTGTATGCTTTCTTGAATTAGTTACGATAGGTCTACAAATGTAAAGATATAGATTGCTGAAGAGAAAGACCGGCAAAACTTTAGCTCCAAAAATATACATAAAGCTAATGGAGCACTGGATCCAACAAATTCCAGTCCTATTTTTGTATGTTGCGACAGTCAATCATCACTAATACCAACAGCATCACAGAGGTCTGATAAAATGAATGTTTTGGAACAATTGTATTGATTTCCCATGAGTTCAATATTCACACAACAGTATCTAGGTATTTTGGAATAAAGATTTTATTGATTTCATAGTAATTCTTCTTCCACTTTGTTTTGAATAAAATTGAGGTAATAAGTCTGT